TTTGAGTAAGAGTAATACACGTCTTGTTGTCTTGGGACTGGTGGAACCACAAATTCTGAAGTAAATTGGATATGCTATTTTCGTCTATCCACCTGGCTAAGAAAGTTTTCATTATAAACTGCATGTACCTATTTTATATGTGACCTAAGTGTACCTATGATATGTTTATTCTATTTTTAAGCTTGTAAGCGCTTTGGACCTGCTCTGTAAGCTTACAAGTGTTTTGCATTAATAAATAAATAAAATAAATAAATTAAAAATTCTTGGCAAAAAAGTGAACTGTGGACTGTGTTTTAAACACAGTTATACTCATATTTATCAACTAATTCAGTCTGTGTTGAGGACAGTGAGGGATCAGAGGTTTGGCCGTGCAAAAGAGTGAAAAATATCAGAAAATATCCTAGTAAACTTCGCGTTTATTTCGTAACGTTGTTTTTTACAAGACAGCAGTCAGAACAGCATTCAAAAAATAAAATAATAAATATAAAAAACAAAGAGGTTCCACAGTCTGATTAATTCGCGTTACCGGACTACTTGTGACGGGTTAGAGGCAAATATCTGTCTGATGATCACAATAATTTAGTCCCGTAAGTCGTTTAAAAGCATGGCAAAACTACGTAGAACGACGTCTAATCCATTTGTAATTGGAAATTTTGAAAAAACTTTATTAAATTACTTTTCGTCAACTGCACAATGTCAGACTAGTTTATGTCTAGGTTTAATTTTTTTTAAGTAATTTATAATTGAAATAAAAACACATGATTATTTTCGGCCAAGATACTTTGCAAATATCCCACTTTTTCTCTGACGAGTGGTCACTCTAATCTGGAGTTGGAAGCCAATTGTTCTGAAGATTGGTTTAAGCCTCCGCATGTGATCTTAATTAATGAATACGAACGAATGACTAAGCTTATTTCGTTAATTTATTTATAACGAAGGCTTTGTGAACGAACGGTATTCGTGCAGGGCTGGCGAGGCTAATAACTCATAAATAGTATACGGTGCTGAGACGTGGACACTGAGAGAAAGTGAGAAGAAGATAGACGCTCTATTGATGTGGTGCTGAAGAAGGATGCTTGGCATAACCTGGACACAGTTCCGAACCAACGCCTCTATCATTCAAGAGCTTGATGTCAAACAGCGTCTTTCTTCCATCGTCCAAAGTCGTATTCTCACTTTCTTTGGCCATATAACACGTGGAGACGTCGCTTCTGTTGAACGACTTGTCGTGCAGGGGAAGGTTGAGGGCACAAGAGCGCGCGGCAGATCGTAAGTCAGATGATGTAAGAATTTTGTTCATCATCATCATCATCATTTCAGCCACAGGACGTCCACTGCTGAACATAGGCCTCCCCCAATGCTTTCCATGTTGATCGATTGGTAGCGGCCTGCGTCCAGCGCTTCCCTGCTACCTTTACGATGTCGTCGGTCCACCTTGTAGGTGGACGTCTCACGCTGCGTTTTCCGGTACGCGGCCTCCATTCCAGAACCTTTCTGCCCCATCGGCCGTCAGTTCTGCGTACTATGTGCCCATTGCCACTTCAGCTTGCTAATACGTCGGGCTATGTCAGCGACTTTGGTTCGTTTACGGATCTCCTCATTTCTGATTCGATCTCGCAAAGAATTTTGTTCGGAAATATAATATTATCTTTTAGTAACTCACAAACTTCGTATAAAATACCTACCACATCTTACAGTTATTTTATTTAATATAAAAAATATTTAAATAATTGACAGCCCTAAATGTATGTGTGAATAATTTTATTGTATTGCGGATTCATGAGATCTTTGAAAATTACGTGTTTGTTCTCGGGATTAGTAGAAATGGAGCGAAAAGCGATAGAAAGGAAACTCGCTGGAATTGTTCATTGTAACGTATGGTAATGGAATTATTTTGAGATTTCCAGGAATGGAACAATGTAGCGTCTTAATAATGTTTCGTCTCGAACTCGATTTTCAAGAGAAAAGTAATGGAATACTAAGAAATTTTTTATCGACTTCAGTCACCTCTTATAAGTATTGGTAATTATTGAAAAAATGTGGCTGATTTATTCGTAGAATCTTTAAAATAATGTACTTATGTTCGCGAGCCACTGCTAAAATGTTGAATAGTCCAACGTTTTATTTAGGTACGATTCCTTACATCGCATTTATGGGAAAATAATAAGGAACGAGAATTTAACATTGTGTTGCAAATTCGGACCTGTTTCGGCCATGTGCAATAATTTAAGGCACTTTTGCTTAGTAAGTGAGAAATTAGTGGTGGTGGTTTCTTTGATTTTTTATGCAGAACAAGGCAGGTATTTGACCACAATCGCTCCTTATGTTAAGTGAATAGGATGGTACGTACATATTTTATCTGCCATAAAATGCTTATTCACTCTCGCCTTGAAAAGGCTTTAATTACCTAGTCAGAGTTCAGACTTCACGTCATCAATACTTAGCCCTAAGAAACTCTTTTCAAAAATCTCCAGTCTCCACTTCAAACATTTGTTCACGAACCCTGCCCTTTGCTAAGTCAAGATCGCAGACCTGCACCTACGTAGGTATACTCTTACAGTCGTATATGAGGCCCTTATCGCGAGGGACATACAGTCTGCTTGGGGTACAGACAGAATGAAAACCGTAAATTGATTTAGCCTTACATTTTTAATCTGGTCACATTTTTTTAGTCTCTTGGCCTGTATCTCACCTGATGGTAAGTGATGATCAGGCCGAAGGTGGAAGCGAGCTTCACCCGGAATCCTCATCCACTGAGGAACTGGCTAACCTCTAACTGCCGGAACACAACAATGCTGTTAACATTAAGTGCCTGCCAATTGATCAATGTAGTGGTTACCAGATTGATCAGTTCTTTCCCCAATCGGTTAATTGGGGAAGAGACCTATGTTCAGCAGTTGATGTTTGCCGAAAAGATGATGATGATCATAATTAAATTAAACTATTTGCTCTAGTACATTGGTTCCCAAAGTGGGGGGCGCGCCTCCCAGGGCGGGCGCAAAGACCTTTAAAAGGGGGCGCGGGCCATCTGTGTACTTAGGTAGGTATTAAAAACCTGCGACCGCTGAGAAAATGCATTCTAGACTGCTCGATACGACCAATAAATAATCTTGACTGGAGGAGGGGAGGCGCGGAATTTTTTATATGGTTTCGACCTCAAATAAGTTTGGGAACCAATGCTCTAGTAAGTTAGAGAGGGTCGTGTTCTTGCAATGGAGACTAAATGACCTGCTGATGATGATAATACTGGTGATACTTTAATCTAGGGTTAACTTTCTTAATGCCATGTTTCAATACCCAAAACTCGTCATGTCTGTGAACAGGCGTTGCTTTCGGGGACCGGTCAATCCAAGTTATTCAAATTTATTAATGCGAGTCATTTCTACTAGTATTTAAGTATCTTAATTTGTATGTCTAGATATTAGCACGTTACTACCTTGTTTAATATGCCACGCAATTTTGTATACCCATTCTTATAAGATACATCATACAAGAATGCGTGGTAAATTCAGTGAACTGCTCCTGAATCAAATGATCCTACTACTGCTTTTTCTATTTATTTATATTAACCGGTAGACAGTGGTGGCTGAGTTTGTTGCGGCGCTTCTTCTCAGCACTTGCCAAATGTTGGTCTCGAAGCGCTGGTAGGGTAAAAAGATTATGAGACATGTAGAGGCTCCTTAAGAGCAAAGTGACGATTTGTAAGAACTATTTATTAGTCTAAAGAAATTTTGACTTTGACTTTTGACTTTGACTTCGATTCATTCTCAATCATAAAATCTTGATTGATTCAATTTCAATATTTAGACCAAACACAGGGCATTATTTAAGCTTTTCTTTAAAGCGAGCTTTAAGCGTGACAAACAAGCATGGCCTCGTGGTTAGTTTTTTTTTAATCCTATATTTTTCCGGGACTCAAAATACTTCATCAAAATCGGTTCAGTGGTTCAGGCGTGAAAGCGTAACAGACAGACAGAGTCACTTTCGCATTGATATTAGATTGATATGCATAACATCAACTCTACACCGAAATAAAATTACCCCCAAATTAATGTGTAGGCGGCGATTATCTGAAACATTACACCTACGCTGATAAGTTCAAAGGCCCCATTAGTAAGGAAAAATCCATCTTTATCGGGGATTTAACATTTAGTAGTTGCTAAGCAGTGTGGGAATAGATTCTTTGTTAACCCCACCAAAATAAACAATTTGATAAAAGTTTTTCTGTCTGATACTCCTACAACTAAGTATACCGACCTACGCTTTTTCTATTTCCAGCTTAGTTATGTACTTGCATGGTATACTACGGAGTTGGAACAGAACAGGAGTGAATCTGTTTCAAATCGATGGGTGCCTGGAACAAAGCCGCAATCGTCAAAACACAATTTTACAGGAGAAGAGATTTAGTGTCAATTTTGAATAATTCTAAACTACGAGGCGTATCAAAACGGTTTGTATATCAAACGATGCGTTATTTTTTCTGGAGTAACATTGAATGTGCATAAGGATATAGTGCTTAGAATATACTTTAAAAAAGGTAGAAATACATATTGCCGCTTCATACATTGAAAGTCGGTTCCGTAAGAGTCCATTGTGGTTTTATTCCGGTAAAAAGTGTGCATTTAATCAAACAGCAATAGTGTATTGCAGCCTCGGGCGCTGATCTGAAGGATACAGTAATAGCCGTTTGCTTGTAGAAGATTTAAATAAAAGTTTTAACATTGTATATGGCACGATTATTCCGGTCAACAAATTTTAAATGGTGAATGGGAATAACGATTCAATATCCATAGTGCTTTTGGTAAATCAGGCAGTTTCAAAGATAAAATTCTGAAAAAAATTCAATAGGTGTATAGGGACCCGCAGTTTACTAAAATCACTTAATCGGAAAACTGCTGCTATGGATATTGCGGCTTTGTTCCNGGGGGGGGCGTGCGGGGGAGGTGGGAGGGGGGGTGTGTGTTATCGTTGGTCTCTCGTCGCAATGAGTGTAGTCGCTGTTGTTTGTATACATAATATATTTCAGTAATACAATATTTACAACCGTCTGGCACAACTTAATAATAAATTACGTTTTCAACAGATTCACAATTCCGAGGTTGCTCCGTCGCTCAGCGCGCGGGCCCCGCCCTCGCAGACCGACATTTCTCCGAGATGCACGCTTTGAACGCGCACGAATACGCGTATGTGGATTTTTAAAATACCCAAAATTAGCTTACGACTAACTTAAACGCATCGAAATAAAGCCCATGTTGAGATACAAAAATATTGCAAATAAAATAATATATCGGAGTATAAATTCGGTTACAAAAATATAGCAAATAAAATTTATTCATTACGCATTTTAAATTCTGGTTGTAAATGAAATAATACGTCGACTGTACTTGATGAGATGAAACAACTTTCATATTATCATATTTGAATAATTTTAAAGACGGCATTGTTTCATGTACAACCTTACTTACAGTATACAATATTGTAACTTATTTCCAAGCTGAGTTACAGGTGTCGAGCGCTCAAAACTAGCAATAATACGCTAAACAATACTCAAAAACTCAGTGTCACTTAATTCAAATTAAATTCAATACACATTACAAAGTCATACATAAATAGGTACATGTAAAAAAATGTATCAACAAAATGCTTCACAGAATCAAACGTAGCTCTGATAATAATATCTTCCCTAAACAATGGACGTAACGTTTCATATAAACATACATACAAAAACTTTCATTCCGAGAATCGGCATAAAAAATAAAAACATTTAGCTGGCTGATACTTAGCTGTCAAAAGTAAACAATATTACAAAATAATGTAACATAAAATATTATGAGTATTCAATGTCGCCGGCCGTTCCCGAATAACTACCTGCCTGCGGTCATAAAAACTACAAAATAACAGGAAAATATAGACTACAACTATTGTCATGAATGATCGAGTAATCAGAAAAGTTTTACACATCTTCCACATTTTTTCAATTTGAGTCATGTGTCAAATGAGCTGCTCCAGTCAAAATAAACGGTCATCAGTGTTCATCTGAATCAAACAAGTTATCACTACTTCCATAGAAGCCAAAAGTTAAAACATCTCTTAAAACAACTTAATTAACCTCTAGGTATTCTATCACAGCTGCCGCGGTTCGCAGGAGAGAACAAAAGTAAATCCCAAATTTAAGATCGACAAAAATAAAATGAAGCTAAAACAATTAGCAAAAATACTTCACATTTGAATATTTTTCAAAAACATATTATAGTATCACTTAAGTGCTTGTCCATCAAAAAACCTTTAAATAATAGCATGCCCAAAATTTGAAATCACTCGAACCGTGTACACTTATAAAATATGAATTATGTAAAATAAGAGTCCTAGTTGCCTGCTAACTTATTAATCTCGGAACTTGATCGCCGGGAACGGCCGCTCCTGCCAGTCAGGCGAGGCGCGCGCGAGCGAGAGGCGAGCGCGCGGGCCGACTCGTTCTCCCGAAGTCGATTCAATCGAAGTCCAAGAAAAAATCGCAGTCGCAGTTTAAAAGCCTACTCGTGTAGGAAAGAATCCCGCGTCGCGCAAACGAAACCGGTCGAATGCGATTTCATTCGAAAGTGATCGAATCGAAATCGACGAGAACGTTCGAGGCACACGAAAAGGCCGCCGGCCCCCGCGCGCTCGCGGCGGTCAGTATGGCACGCGTCGGGCGTCACGCGTGGCGCGGGCGTCGGGTATGGCACGCGGCGGGCGTCACGCGTCAGTGGGCGCGCGGCGGGCGCTAGCTGGCGCACTTGGTCTTGCCGTCGAGCAGCTTGCGCCACAGGTCGAACTGCTCGTGGTAGCGCACCATGTGGATGGCCACGCCGCGCTGCACGGCGCACGGGTGCGGCGCCACCTTCTTGTTGTAGAACTCGGCGGCCGCGCGGCGCCGCACGCCCAGCCGCTGCGCCAGCAGCCCCGTCACGAACACGTCCTCCAGCCGCAGGTACGGCGTGCCCGGCGCCGCGCCCAGCAGCGGCCGCACCGCGTCCGCCGTCAGCAGGTACGCCGGCCCGGTCGCGAAGTCCGGGAACACCTTGCCCGGGAACTGCAGCGGCGGCACGTAGTACTTGGAGCGCGTGGTGCGCTTGGGCAGCGAGCGCCGCACCACCTTGCCCCAGATGGTCATCGTCTCGTTGGCGCGCGCCGCCGCGAACTCCAGCAGGCGCGGCACGTTGATGAACATGTCGTCGTCCGTCTTGAGCAGGCGCGGCGCGCGCGGGCAGTACGAGTCCATCCACTCGAGCATCGACAGCGTCTTCAGCGTCAGGTTCGAGTACGAGTCGACGGAGCGGCCGACGATCACGTCGCCGTACAGCGCGTCCTCGGCGGCGATGGCGGACCGCAGCGCGGCGGGCGGCGCCCCGAGCACGAACCCGAGCGCCACGTCGGAGCGCTGCGCGAAGTGCCCCCACGTGAGGCGGATGGCGTCGCGCGCGGCGCGGTGGGCGGGCGCCGACGTCACCAGCAGCACGAGCCGCAGCCGCGCGCCCAGCGCCGGGCACAGCTCGGGGTGCGGCGTCTCGTGCCCCGCCACGTACAGCTCGCGCGTCAGCACCGGCCGCGCCCCGCCCGCCGCCCCCGCCGCAGGCCCCGCCGCCGCCGCCGCCGCCGCCGTGTGGGGCGGCGCCTCGGGCGCTTTGGACGACGACGCCGTCGGCCTGGAACACCAACGTTCCGGCGTCAAAAAGACAATGCCGGAAATTAGCGTCTTTTTTTTTCGCGCGGCCATCGACCAAACCATGTTTTTTAGATACAAAATAGTGTAATAAACCAAACTTACTGTGACATGTATACCTCTAAACTCAGTCTGAACTGAGTTACGAGCATTAGAAGTTTGATGATTTACATACTAGATTTGCTTTTTGCGCGCAAGTTTTGTAAGAAATTGTAACAAAATAGTGACATTGTATGTGTGTCCAGACTTCAGTGTGGAATAGAATCAGCGCAATAAAAAAATAGCGCAATATTTTGTTGCAATTTCTTACAAAACTTGCGCGCAAAAAGCAAATCTAGTCTAGTATGTAAAATCATCAAACTTCTAACGCTCGTAACTCAGTTCAGACTGAGTTTAGAGGTATACATGACATAGTAAGTTTGATTTATTACACTATTTTGTAATCAAAATACAAAGTTTGGTCGATGGCCGCGCGAAAAAAAAAGACGCTACCTTCCATATAAATCTGACATTACCATTTGCACAATCGCTCCGTCCACTGACGATCACAATACAATATTCGACATCATCAGTCTCGCGGGACGAGCTACGTACCGTCGCGTGGTGCTGCTGACGGGCGCGGTGGTCTTGTTGACGGCGACGGAGGCGACGGCGGCGGCGGCGGGCAACGGCGCGGGGCGCGGGGAGGGCGCGGGCGGCGGCAGGCGCGCCAGCAGCAGCAGCAGCAGCNGGGAGGGCGCGGGCGGCGGCAGGCGCGCCAGCAGCAGCAGCAGCAGCGCGGCGAGCGCCAGCGCGGCGGCGGCGTGCGAGCGCCGCAGCGCGCCCATCGCGCCGCCTCACCGGCTCACCGGCCCGGCCCGCTGCAGACCTGCAATGCCGCACCGAGGGACGTGAGCGTTACCCCTTATGTTCGGCCAAACCGACGCGTGAACCCTGCGTGCGCGACAGCGATCAGTGCCTCTACCATGAGTTTACCTACCGAGCATCTCGCTATCGAGGGCGTAAAAAAATGTATGACAAATTGTACAGCGCCTCTAGCGGTTAGTAGCTGAACCACAGCAAAACTAAAAACACAACCATGAGTTCATCTCAAATCGTTAGGTAAAAAACCTATCTAAATGAATACGATAGCGACTCAGATGTCATATCATATGACATCTGATATGATGACATATGACTCATATAGTATTAGTAGCGATGATGAGTTCACATCGACGCGTCCTGTCGATGGTTGCGGTGATCTATGCAGAGGCAGTGATCGCTATCGCCATCGCCGAGTCGAGCTGCACGCGTTGGTTTAGTCGAAGCGTTAGAACCGATCGACATCCGTTCTGGGTGGAAGGACACAGGCCCGAGATTATACAATATTCTTCATAATAAAAAGAGGTTGACTTCGTTCCCCAAAAGAAAAACTTCAAGTTCGTGTAATTACCTCTATTTAATCAATTAAATAGAATGATACTAATAATTACCGACACGCCTACAAGCACCACTTCATTAATGGAATGAATATCATTGTAAAGGATACATTTTAAAATTATTAATTAATTAAACAATAAATTGATCGTAATGGACCGACAAGTCATAATTACTATTTTAGTTAGTACATATCAATTAATAGCAATTTATTGGGAAACTATCAGCTTTTTAGTTTTCTATTGAAACCTTGACATGTTGTTGCTGAGTTCTTAGCCCAATTTCAAAAAACGTTTGCCCTTACAATACTATGTAACAGGATGTAAGAATATCTTAAGAGCGTTTACGCCGTTTGGCGCTAAAACAGTNTGCTATGGATATTGCGGCTTTGTTCCAGGCACCCATCGAAATGTATTATCTATGGACTTACTTTCCCCGACTCCTGAATCACGTAGTTAGTATTGTGTTAAGGGTTTAAATATTTTTTTAAATGCTTTGCAAGAGACCAAATTCCAAGACCTCATAAATAAGTACAGAGAACTTTGCACTGAATCCCAAGTCGAACCTTAACTTCGAACTCCTCATAAGTTCTTCTGATTAAATTCGTTGCGGGTCCAATTACACATTAGGTTTCCCCGGGACAAACTTGACCTTCACTGGTTGGCGGTCAAGCTGTAGATTCTGGCTACACAGGAGTTGTAGCGGTGGGAACGAGAGATGGGAATAGTCCCGTAAAGTGCAGACAAAAACGTGAATTTTATATTCCACCAAAATACAGTATTCCTTCCTACATTTCCAATTTCATTCAATCTGTTTTACCGACCGTAGTCTAAGCAAATATTCTTGCATTATCGCAGCATCGGTCCATTTGAAATATTCATACGGTAACTAGAAGGCATTAATGTTCAATGCGCTTTATCATACGTTTGAGGGTTTTGCTCTTTTTCTTCCCATTATTAGAGGGTTTTGTATTCTATAAGCTTTTCAAGGAGGTTCCTTTGAAAGGCTTTGTTAAATGTGGAAAAAGGGTTCTGTTTTTGAAGCAATGGCATACTTATTTGCTGAACATTCATGATCATTAATATTATATTATGTACTTATGTCATCATCGTCATCGCTTCAGCCAAAAGACGTCAACTGCTGAACATAGGCCTCCCCCAATGATTTATAGATTGGCTGCTTGGTAGAGGCCTGCATCCAGCAATAAATAAATAAATAAATCCAGCGCTTTTCTGCAACCTTCAAAGGAATTTGTCCACCTTGTGGGTGGACATCTCACGAATTCACGATGCGCCTGCCAGTACTGGGACTTCGATAATTTCCGAGCTATGTAAGTAAGTTTTAAGTTTAAGAGGGTAGGTTAGTATTTGGATAATTGGCCACTTATCCAAATACATTGACTTCTTAATATGGAGACAAAGGATCTTAAATATTTTTAGGATATCCAGTTCACGGTTTTTTATTGTAATCATTAGTGTATATTGCGATAACTTAAAGCTTCACATTCTTAGTCAACTACCTTGAAAAATACAATCATCGTCTATTTAACCGTACATTAAAACCGCATATGTTGACTAAAGCCAGTGAAGCACAATAAATCAAGTAGAAATTTTAAAGCAGTCAATGCGAAATCATGTCCCACAGACTGAATAAAATCTAATAAAATCCGTCTGTGGAGACATGCGGTGGAATCGTACGTAATGAAATGAATGACGCGCTTCGAGTGGAAGGTAGGGAGAGTTGGTTAAGGAATTGTTGGATTTTAACTGAGATTGTTTTAGATATGACTCATTAAATTTTGCGACCTGGAAGTCCAGGTTAGCAAGGGCTAATTATTAAACACTGTTGCTCATGTAAAGGTAGTTTTAGATGATATTTTGGAACAAAAATATTCATAGTTCGTGACACTCAAAGTAGCCAAAAAGTTGCTACGCGTCTTTGTTACAATTGGATTAAGGTCGTGTTGTCAGCTTTTTGGGTTCTTTAGGTGTCATGAACTGTTTGACTGACTGTACTGTCCCCCGTTTCTTTCTTCAATACGACATCCATTTTTGGGCGCACCAGCTGCAGCACCGCCAAAACAGTTACGAGTCGAAGTGGTCGCTATTGACCAAATCGGTCGGATTAATCATACTTATCATAGTTATTAGGACAGGAATATAAATATCAGAGTATTTTTGATTAAAATAGTGATACTTACATGGTTTCCGATATGTAGGTGTGTCACAATGAATCCCGATGAGATGCGAACCCGCAACCGCTCTTCCAGGACCCCTCACCAGGCGGTCCAGTCCAGTAACCTGTTTAAAAAAAATCCTTTTTAATAACAAAGTCTCAAAACAAACCTGCACCTGCATTATCCGCAAATTGCAGACTTAATAAGAACATGGAGTGACGTTATTTCGCTTTATCTTTCGCAAAACGAGGCGAAGACGGCAAAGACAGTACTTAGGGTAATTGCTCGCCGCAACGCAGAACAATCAGACGTGTCGCAAAGAATCAAAATCAGGGACGGAGTCAGGGCATACTTTGTTTTTAGTTCGTTCGTTCGTTTCAGCCGAAAGACGTCCACTGCTGGACAAAGGCCTCCCCCAAGGTTTTCCACAAAGACCGGTCCTGCGCTGCCCGCATCCAGGCACCTCCCGCGACCTTCACCTGTCGGAGTGGGAGGCCTGCCCACACTACGTCTTCCGGCTCGTGGTCGCCACTCGATGACTTTTCTGCCCCAGCGGCCATCAGCTCTACGAGCTGTGTATTTTTAGTTCATCACAAACTAAAAATAAAGTACAGTAGAATCTCGATTATCCAGATATCCGATTATCTGGACTTCATGGCTCTAGTTACCGATTTAGGGCCCCAATCATCGATCCATCAACACAGCACGGCGCCGCCACCGTAACACGGTATCGGACGTCGTCTTGATTTGATTCACATGATCTAAGGCCCAGTTTTTTGATTCATAGTTATAACTAATTGTTAAATTTTGCTACTAATGGTTAAATATTAACAAAATGGAAACTAATAGTTAAAAAATTTACTAAAAGTCAAGCTAACCATTGTTCGAAAAAATTTTTTTCTGATAATTAACCACTTGTCATTTGACATCTGTTAAATTTGACTATTGGTTATTTTAACTACGAATAAAAAAACTGGACCTTAACGATGTATGCAAACCAGTTTTCTTAAAAAAAAAAGTGAATTATTGTTTGATTTTCCTTTGAAATCGATAGACCTATAGGCTCTTTTAAGAACAATAAAATTGACGATGAAAGTTCCAATTTAATTAGCCCAGAGTTCCAATTTAATTTAAAGTTATTTTTGTTTTTATTTCGAAAGTTGCCCCAAGTCCGTCCCTGTTTTACAGACTGCTACATGTCACGTTTTCTATTACACACTAGCAAATTTAACTTCGCAATTATGCCGAGTTTTATTATGGGGTTAGACCATAATGGCACATTTGACTGCAAGGGATTTGAGATGTGTAAGTAACCTCATTCGAAGAAATTAAAGCCGACAGTGGCTTGCAAGTGTCTTGGAAAAAGTTGCGGCGAAAATGTATGAAATGTATGGAGTATGAAAAATGGAAGATTGTGGGTGTTTCTTATTGTTTTAATGGAGTCGAATAAGTCAGACTAATTACCTATGTACTTCCAGAAATCTTTTAACTGGTTTTTGTTTACGGTTATTAGGAGCCTTTTATCTAATATCTATTAACTGCTTTATGATGGCTTTCAATAAGTACTTATTACATGTTATCTACTTTTATGTAGCCGAACGGTAAAGGTATCTGACTGGCCGACTCGCGATCCGAGGAACACAGGTTCGAACCCTGTCGCCGCTTGAGTATTTATGGTGAACCTATTGGTAATAAGCAATATTTCTATTTTACTTTAGAGAGGTTAACGTGGCCGTTAGTAATTTGTGCAACACAGATAATTATTAAAAAATAAAACTGAAAAAGGTAAGTTTGATGAAAACAGGTCGTCAGGTAGCTTTCTTAAAGGTCATGATCGCCAGCCATTATATTTGATTGTGTATGCAAACATGAGCACAGTTTATAAATACATTCAAGCGTCTTATCTACACATAAGTGACTCCCAAACATCCAAGTTAACTGCATTATAATGAAGTTTATTTTATTGTCTTGGTTTTCACATGACACTCATAAAAATGTCGTTTAGATGTGTGGCATTAAGATTACTGGATAAGCTCAATGTCAAATTGTAGTAAATTATGGTCATTTGTGTAGAATCGGCGCTTGAACATGTTAGAAAAATTACCTATTAAAATTACCTGCGATTTCTATGACCCTTCCATTATTTTTACTCAGGCAGATATAGTGATGATGATAATCCACAGTATTTTTATCATCTTTCAACATTATAATTTATTGTTTGTCCATTCTCCATAAAAAAATGTTTTTAATACAAAAATAATTATTTTGTTCTAGTCTGGGAAAAAAAATATTTCCTAGGATTTTAACAAGATTTTAAAAATACTGTACCTCTAGTAGGAAAAACTTTCGAGTTCGTTTCGTTGCGTATTCAAAGTGTCATCGAAAAATTTTGTATGAAAAATTAAACAGCGCCCCCTAGGGCGGCTATAATATAGGGGGCGCTGTTTAATTTTTCATATGTATTCGCAAAGATTGAGAAATTCTTTTTCTCACTAAATCAAAATATTTTTTCACGCCATCTATCGCTTAGTAAAGACACTACGCAGTAATAACAACAGAATCCCTAGACAGCGTCATCTAGCGGTAAGGTACTGCACTAGGATAGCTAACATTGCCATCTAGTGTCGAATAGCTGAACCAACTTCACAGTGAATAAGATTCCTAGCATCAAAACTTAAATAAAAGCTAGTGAAAAAGTTTCGTACACAACTACTAGATGTCACTATTTGGCAAAAAGTACTACCTCTCTTATCCGACTGCAGAAAAATGTATTCTTAATTGGAAATACAATGTAAGTAAGTAAACAATTTTTATTGTGAACTTTTACTGTAAAAGATTAACTAAACAGTTACTTTCAAACGAATTGTTAAGTTTTTCCAGCTTAATTATTACTACGCTTCGACCTTCCCAGAGCAAATCGGTCGGGTATTTTGACACAATCAATCATAAAGATAAAAAAGCTTTCATGGTAATGGACTACTGCATATTATCTCGAGTGGCAGATAGCACTTGCCATTCCGTCATGGTTTTTGAATGTGGCGTCCGTCTTTTTGGGAGCATTGGACCATGGATTTGGATGAAGACGACTTGCTCAACGTAAGTTCTGATTTATTTTACTACGTGAATGCCATTTCTTTAAAGAAATATAAGTACCTAACTGGTGAAGTTTGTAAAGTACCGAGTTATTTTTTGGTAATAATAAACCAACGTTAACGTTAAGTAGGTAGGTAGGTACTTTACTTACTGATAATTTTTATCATTGTCTGATGATTAAAATAACTCGAAAAAGCTCTATCTTTAAAATTACGATTTAAAGTTAAGTTTAAGCTTAAGCCAAAGTTAACACAAGATTAAGGTACTCTTAAAACTTATTATTGACATGAATGTAATGAAACAACATTCGAGTAGGGTGGATGTACCTAACTTCTGTACGTATACAAACTTAGTCGTTATTTCTATCTACGCTTGAATTCAAAAAGTATAACCATAGTCTGATAAGCTGTACACAAAAGGTATATGTTTTACTCAGCATCCATCCACTTTTTTTAGGAAGGAGAGGCGAAAGTTTAGAAAGTTTCTTTTTTTTAAATTGACAAAATGGCCGCCAATTTTCTTTTCAGTGGGACACAACGCAGCATGACTTCCCCAACGTGCTGTGGATCATCAAGCCCCCCCAAGAGATCGCCGTCAAGACCATCGCCATGCTGGTCATCGGAATCTCTGGGATATTTTTCAACTCCATCATCCTTATTATTCTTATTCGTAACAAGTTAGTTTTTTTATCAGGAGGCAGTGATTTTATTTATTGAAACAGACCTATCATTACACAACGTACAATGGCCAAAAAATATTTGATAATTTAACCATTCTGCCTTAACTTATTTTTGGATTTTTCATTATTATCTTTACTAGACTAATGTCAATAACCTGTACCTACTTATATAAAATATTGGATGCAAAATACACTGATGGATTTTTGAAAATAAGCAATGATTTTGTGTTCGTAAAAGTTATTTTGGTTATCGTAAACTAAAATATTTAACCCATAGATGGCTCTGGTGTGCCAGCAACATGCTCATCGGCAACCTGGCGCTGGTGGACCTGGTGACGCTGCTCTTCTGCCCGTGGTTCATGCTGGTCAGGGACTTCTACCAGAACTACGTGTTGAAGACTTTCGGCTGCCAGTTTGAGGGCTTCATGCAAGGTATGGATCAAAAGAGTCGGTAAATACATATTTTAGGTTCATCTTCTTATTCATCATTCAGCCACAGGACACCCACTACCTACTGATTTGGGCCTCTAGCAGTGATTGCTAAGTTTCTATGTCAATTTGCAATTTGGTTTTGGTTTCACAATATTATTAATCTTTATATTCACTAACAATACATTTTGAAATACTACCATGACTATCCTTACCTTCCATTTTTCTCATTCCTTTTAACTTTGAATGGTAATCATCATCCTAACCCCTGACGGGTCTTTCCAGCGTCCTTACTTCTAGCGGGCGTAGGTGCGGTGATGCTGGTCTCCTACGACCGAATGGCGGCAGCAGCATTGACCTCTGATGCAAGGGTCACCAGGTCCTTCGCACCGAAGCTGATCTTCATCACTTGGTTCGTTTCTATACTCCTCTCACTTCCATGGATCATCAATAGGGAGTACACGGTCAGTATCATCAGCATAAAACCAATTAATTTGTAAAGGTTACATTACATTAGTAAGCAAAATAAATAAATATCTACTTGGATACTCGAAATAAATTAATGGAATGGGATACTTTCATTTACTAGCTAGATAGATAAAGATTTATGGAAGAGAAGTATTATGAGACTAGATCAATTATGGACATCTAAAGTTTGGAAATTTTGCAGGAGAGACAGTGGAAGAATTTTCTCGAAAAATACTGTGTCGAAGATGTAAAAGTATTGGGAATTTACTGGCATTTTACCTTATCTTTCCTTGTATGGATTCCGCTCGGCTTGATGGTTATTACTGTAAGTACCAATACAACAACATAATTATCAGTTCAAGAATCTCTTGATGCAGTGGAATCGTTAAAATAAATTATTGTTTCCAGTATGGGGCAATAATGTGGCGTCTGGAATGTAGTGCCCGTAAGCTGAAAGCACGTGGTGGAGGTCAATCAGTGACCAGAGCTAAGAAGAGGGCTATGAGGATCACAGCGTGTGTTCTGATGACGGCAGTCATATGCAGGATCCCATACACCGTGCTCATCTATTGGAGAAACCGGCTGCCTAATGAAGTGAATTCGGTAAGAAATTGTAATTTTTAATGATAAAGATACACTTCGATAATGGGTAAAAATACCATCTCTCTTCATAACAATAATTTGCTCTGAAACAGTTTTTGCCGAATTTAGGACAATTTAAAATCTGAAACTGATTAAAAGTTAATTTAAGAGTTCTATCTCAGTAGGTATTCTCTTTCTGACCAACTTTTTGCGACGTTTACCTACCTATATTGTAAAGAATTCAAAGTAGGAACTACATTGATTGTGACTCTCGTAAATTAAGTGGTAAAAAGGGCTCCTAATAATGCAAACTAAATGACCCGTGATGATGTTATTTAAAATGATCGTTCTTATGTATTTACATAGGTAGAAGGCAGCTACGACGCGATGTGGTTCGCAGCTAACTACTTGATGTACACGAACAGTGCCATCAACCCCCTCATTTATGGCTTCACCAACGTCAGGTTCAGAAAAGCCATGGACATCACCCCGGGAGTAAGGTTCTTCAAGTTCGGATCTTGGTGCTGCATTTGTACGATAGTAAGCATTTACCTTAGGTTATCATTAGTCAAGGCAAATATAGATAGTACCTATTAAAAAAAATGTAGACTGTCAGGGATCAAGGAACACTTTTAATGTGCTAATTTAAACAAAAATGGTTGTTAACAAGTAACAACAATAAATACTTTACCACGACTTCGATGATATTTATTTTTAAATAAGTACGGATTAAGGCAAATCAAGCCAAACTCTGTGGCATTTTATGTAATAGCAATAAGTAAATACCTACTAGAAACAAAATGTACGTGCTGTTGATTGGGACGATAATTTTGGGGAAATTGTATTTGATGTTATTCTTTTCCAGTTCAGAAAGAAACAAACGATACCATCGGACAGAACCACGGAGAAAGTATTCGTGATCGAGGGCAGCCCTCGACAGAACAAGAAGTTTGCACACGTCATCAAGAACATCTTCCACATCAACAAGGAGACGCTGGACTTCAGCGTGAAGAATGAGGACACTCCGAAACCAACCAGGATCACGCCTGTGAAGTCCGACATATAGATCGTTTCATCCACGAAGACGCCCCACCAGTCTCCCGCTAATGTTCGAGTGTTATCGGTACACGCTAAATCATCCATGAGTGCACACGTACACTACAAAAATGACGCTCAGATTGCTCAGAATCGCTTCCTCGCGCTTCCCTCGACCAAAATTTGGTGGGGTGCGTCTTCATGGATAAAACAATTTAAAGCTTAAGTGGTGTTGCTATGTCAGTTTCCATTTTTAGAATAAAAACTGTGTAATTATGGTTTAATTTTAGTCAGATACCTACTTGACATTAGATCCACGCAAATAATTTAAAAGTACAACTATTGAACAATTGGACCTAGGTAGTACGTATGACAATAATTATAGTAATAATAAAACCATTTAGCCCACCTTTAAATCCACAGATATAGATATACCTGTGTTTCAATCCAACTTTCTTATCTTCGGGGACTTTAATTTTTTCCGACTAATTCATCTTTAGGTGTCTTTAGTTGTTTGAAGTACGTGATGTAAATAAAATAGTACCTACTAATAATACGGGTATTTCAGAAAAAAAGCTCTATGGAATTGACGTTGTGTATTGACCATTTTTATTGCTGGTTTTATACAATAATCAAGACTATAAAATAAATAATACCTGTGTCATTGTCAGGGATATTTTGGATAATATTTCTCCAATAACAATAAATAAGTATTTTCACAAAATTCATGACTTTTCTTATGCATCTTATGTGGCCGAATCGCCGTTGCAATCCGTTGTATCTAATTGTTGAGCTACTTCTTGTATTTTGGCTTCTATGATTTCTTTCATGTCAGGTTCCACTCGTAGGATGTTGGCAGCTTCTTGCAGCAACACCATACTTTCCATGAGCTGGTCCTGGGGAAACAAAACAACTTGTTATGATGGAAATATCAAAAGGTGAATGACCACGAATGACCGATAAAATTAAATGTAGTGCACTTTAGCTTAATCCATCCTTAAATCCTACTGATCGATCCACTATTTTGTGTCTCTTCTATATTGTGATAACAGTTTTAAGGGTTAAAAATTATCCATTTTCGATTCATCATCATTATCATTTCAGCCTTGACGTCCACTGCTGAACATAGGCCTTCCCCAATGATTTCCATGTTGATCGATTGGTAGCGGCCTGCGTCCAGCGCCTTCCTGCTACTTTTATGATGTCGTCCGGTCCACCTTGTGCGCCACCATATTTTCGATTCTATCTAGGTAAATAAGTCAATTGCCATTTTATCATTTAAGCCTACCTGAGCACCAGCCTTGGTTATTTTCTCTGCTTCAAACTCTCGTTTAGTTTGGACTGTTAGGGCTGCCTGTAAATCCAACAGAAGTGTCCCACGGAACTTGGTCCAGCCTGGCTCCAGCTTGTCTGCTAGCTCCAGAAGATCATGGCATAGCTCTATCTTGCGCTGAAGTAAGTTGTCTGAGAGTTCTGGAAGTTGAAAAATCATACATTATTCTAAGTTTAATACGAAAAAAAATGGAAAACCGAGACATCGTGCTTTGGAGGATCTTCAGGCTGTGGAATGATAGGTACATTAATTTTAATATTTATATATTTTTATATTTTTAATATTTTATACTTATAATTGTAGAAATGTAAATATAATAGTAAAAATGTATAAAAAATAAGCCATGATTGATGAATGAAAGCGTGAATGATACTTTTTTAGACCATAGGCATCATTGAACATGACTTGTGCCAAAATCAACCGAAATGATATCTCGATAGTACGTCAATAACTGTTTATATGAACCTTGGCCGCTTTGGCATGGATTTTAATTATAGCTACTACCATTGATTCGCGGTACCAATGTCGAGAACTAGTTTCATTGACCCTTGAAATAAAGAGGAGCCAAATTTCCGAAGGCAAAGACAGGTTTTCTCGGAGATCTAAAACTAGGTTTAAATATGTATCTGAAAACAAATATACAGTAGGTAGGTACGTAAAGCAAACACGTACCTAAAATAAAAATGAAATTACCTGATAGCATGTATCCTTTGAAGTTTCCATATATTTTCACCAAAGCCAACTTGGCTTGAACCACTAAATGATTATTCGGATGTAGGGTTTGACTGTATTTCTGAATGAACTCTTCAAATCCTTTTGGGCCATCCTTCTTTAATTTCTTTAGTTCCTCAGACAGTGCGTTATTTCCCCAAAACATTTGCCTGCTTAGTATAAAATGGTCACATTTCTCACACTTCCAAGGTGCTGCTTCGTCCAATGGGTTTGAGGATACCATCATAGGTGGTTTCTCTGAACCAAACACTCCAGGTCCATTGCAAATTGAACAGTAAATACTACCTAAATAAGATCCAAGTTCAGTTGGGTCCTTACATCTGTTACATTCACAGTCAAAACATTTTGCGCTTCTCAAATGTTTTCTTCTATCCAGAGTACCCCATAGAGATTGGGTGTATGTAGCCGTTATCAAATCACCTTTAGAAATTGGCACTGTTGCTATAAATGCCACATGATAATCATCACCAATAATAATATGGCGGGTGTTAGGCGTACAACTGTGGTTCATCATGGATGCAGTGACATAAATAGCCCTTAACTTCTTAGATCCATCTGGGGACCTAACATCAAAGGAGTTGGTGTCGTATATCGAGGCCACTTTCAATATCGTTTCCTCATCAAAGGGTAGTCCGAGGACTTGTATAACAAAAGTTACCAGATTAGCTTTTAGAACTGTGTACAATGGCGTATTCATCCGATCCTCCAAATGAGACTCTAATGCCATAACATTTTCGTACTGTAAAGGGTTTGTGGTATTCATTAACAACACTCTAAGTGGAGCAATAACACAATAAGCTGCTTCTGCTTTATCTTGGTGCTCGAATTTAATGTTGCACTTGTATTTCCTATCTGTCATAACTTTGCATTCTGCTTTATGCACATCGGCTTTTTCACACTCCGGTCCGCACATAGGCCAGTTGCATGATGTGCATTTATAGAAATCGTACGTGTCCTTGACCTTTATTGGTTCTAGTTTTCTTCCACAAGTCAAACACTGAGCCGGGCACGTCATTTTGGGACCTAGCGCTGCTGGTTTCTCTTTCAGAATCATTTCACCTTGCTTGATGTCTCTGGTGGCAACCATGTGTCGTCCATAAGTGTCGGAGTACTGTATTTTGAAGGCGCAGCATTTGAATTTGTGGCCTTCCCTCCAACTTAGTTTCTGGTGGGCTTTGGAGCAGTAGTACACGAGTTTGCAGCCTCCGCAAGTTTGGTTGGCGGGTTGTTGACACACTTCGCAGGTTGGGATTTCCTTCTTCGTGGAATTCATAGTTATTTCGTAACCGAACACTGAGCGGGATCGCGCCCGTCCCGGTCCGCTCCCAACACAATACTCGTTTTAAATAGATAGACATAATTAACACGCGGTGGATGGGAGACGTGCCAACGAAATGAAGTATGAATATTGTTAGCGAATGTTCTTTTGTAACAATACAAATGGTATTGCACCGGTTGACATTATAGATGTTACGCTTTTGTTAGCGGAGTGGATGGTTTATGCCTGTCAATGTACAGTTTAACTCATAGGTGATTCAGATTGGATAAAAACAATTGAATAATGTAATGATCGACCATCAAAGCAGTTATTGTTGTTTACATTTCTTTAAGGCATAACAATATACAACACTATTTCAGTATATTTTACCAGTTTAGGTTTGGTTTAGAATTTACTGTGGTAGTAGATGGATTAGTCTTTTCGTTTAAAAATAGTGTGTAAACTTTATGCAAAAATGAGATTCACCGATAGAGGCGCTGCATGGTTCATCTGATTCTGTGGTTCATCCACGAACTTGTTATTATTCTTGTTTAAAGAAAGTTTTGCGAATCTCCGTTAGGGGCGCTGCTCGGTTCTGCTTTCTTAATGTATATTTGTATTAAATAACTAATGTACAGTCACGGAATGAAAAGGTTCGTCAGTTTTCAAATTGATTCCTTCAACGAATCGCGAGCACATATTACCTTTTGAAACTAAGTTATAGTATAATCTCGAGTTAGTGAAAATAATCTGTAACTGTTCGTCAGTAAAGTTCAAAATTATTCAGATCAAAGTTATTTGACGATTTATCTTGTCAAGATTATTATGATTGATAAACTAAAACCTTCTTGTTGGTTCAACCTGCCATTATTATTTCTATTAAATAAAAAACAACTACATTTTGTAACATTGCATGGGATAGAAAATTAAACAAGCAAAACCTTATTCGTTAGCAAACGTCATATTTATTTAAATGTTAGCAGCACTGTTTCTTGCACGGTTATGGTTATGTTGGCAGGTTTGACTCTGACAGTACCTAGTGCAAGCGAAAACCGACACTAAGGTGACGAACCTTTTCATTCCGCGACTGTACACAACATCATAAATTATATTATTTAAGCATTTTCAAGTTGTTTTTATGAAACTCTGTAATGTCCCAAAATATTTTATTTCACTTTATCATACGAACTGATAATCGAGTAGTTATTCGAGCCCTAACGGTTCATTATAAAGTTTTCAAAAAAAATCTTATACTTACCTACATACCCACAGAAGTTACAAATTCATTTAAAAACGCCTTCATTAATAATAAAGATTGAAGGAAGGCCCTGGATGCAGGCCGCTGCCAATCAGCCATTTAGAAATCACTGGGGGAGGTCTATGTTGTTCACCGCTGGACGTTATATTGTGGCTGAATGATGATGATGATGAGTTGCAGACCACTGTTGTAAAATAGTTATAATTATTGAAAAAAAAGGAAAAAAATTACTTGCATTAACTTCTTTATAGTTACAAAACGGTGTTTCAAGCTTATGTATGTCCACAACGATAATTTAATTTTAACGTATGTATTTTAATCAATATTATAATTCAATCATCCGCTATCACCTCATCATCATAATTATAGCTCTACCTTAAAATACTCACACTTACCTTACCGTACAAGCTCAGCTTAAAAGTTAGCTATTCGGTGTAAGAATCCAAAATTTCTAATGCCGCTACATAATTAGTGTGAAAATTAAACCAATTCAATATTATTAAATCAAAAAAACTATCATAGACTGTACCACACCACTGGCTGTGCGTAACAAAAACCTTACCGAACACAGCAGTCGTCTCCCGAACTTTTCCGGATGACCATTAATTTTTTCAGGCTATTCATACAATATCTTACGTAATCCAACGATACATACAGTTTCCTCTGGACGCGCGTTAGTGTGAAACCGGCGCGCGCGCACACCATGCCCTGAGGGATTTTCCAGTGTTTTTTTTTCTTTTTTGTGGCCAGTGATTTTTTTGTTTTGGATTTTTCGTTTTAAATCAAGGTACGTGGTGCAATAATATGTATTAAAAAAAAGTGAATTAAAAGTCATAAAGAATAGCGATGAATTTTTAACATTTTTTTTCGTAAATAAAAAAACACCTACGTGAATTTGTGTGGATGCTTAAGGTATTTTTTCCTAGTAGGCCTAGTATCAAAAAGTTACAAGATTACTAATGTACTAAACAGTTGGCAAACTTATAAGACGTCTTGTAGGTATTTTTCTATGGAAATAAAATTGAATTAAGAACACTTCATTATCATTCCAAGAGTTTTAGTGTGATTACTACCAATATTACTTAACTAGTAGCTAGAATCCAGAAATAATGTTCGTGTCGTAAGATTACTGAACGAAATATAATTTAGGTATGGAGTTTTTTGTGTAAAATTTTTCATGCATCCAAAAATGTCCAGCAATTCTATGCTTGTTGCCACACATTTACGAAATCCAGTTCAGAGACCGAATAACCCGAATACTGTGGAAAATATAACTAAATCAGCGATTCTCAATCTTTTTTATAGACGTCACACAGATGTTTTGATTTTGATGGTTCATCATTTAATTTTGTTCGTTTAAGCCAAATATTATTATGTCCACTACTGGACAAAGGATTTCCACAGCGACCCTTACGCTGCAAGGATTTACTTAAGTTTGGCAGTACCTACTGAAATTAGGTGGTGCTTACGACCATAACAAAATTTATACGGTAACTTCTGGGCAGAAGCAGTCTTAATTCGATTCGCGTTCAAAAACATAGTCAAAAAGTTGATAGTGACAATATTGATTTACTGAAACTAAGTTCTTATTATGTTGAGCATGGCTGGCCTGAAGCAATAATATTGTTTTACAGTGAAAATTACGAGTCTCGAACAGAGCAGTGTGTGTTGCCAGTGTTGATATATGGATCTGAAACGTGGTCGCTTACTATGGGCCTCATAAGAAGGCTCAAGGTCACCCAAAGGGCGATGGAGCGGGCCATGCTTGGAGTTTCCCTGCATGATTGAATCAGAAATGAGGAGATCCGCAGGAGAACCAAAGTGACCGACATAGCTCGCAGAATTGCTAAAATCAAGTGGCAGTGGGCGGGGCACATGCCTCGTAGAGACGATGGCCGTTGGGGCAGAAAAGCTCTCGAGTGGCGACCACGGGCTGGAAGACGTAGCGTGGGCAGGCCTCCTACTAGGTGTACCGACGATCTGGTAAAGGTCGCGGGAAGAGCCTGGATGCGGGCAGCACAGGACCGTGCATTGTGGAAAACCTTGGAGGAGGCCTTTGTCCAGCAGTGGACGTCATTTGGCTGAAACGAACGAACGACAGTGAAAATAAAATCTATTATTTATAGACATTGTGACACGTTTAAGGCGATTAGAGTCCTCAATGACCTTGGGCGTTTGACCTTCACGCCGCGAGCAACACCCGCGTACCCCGCACCAAAAACTCCGATTTGACACCGATCAAAAATACACGGGCATAGGTAGATACAGAATAGAAGCTCTTTCTTCATACATTACTGCCTATTATTTTAAACTTAAATTCATGAACCTTGATGTCGGTGTCATTTAACTCAGGCGTAAAGGTATTTAATAAAGGGACAATATTATTTGATCCTCTAAAAACTAATTGATCTTTTTTGCATGTGCACTTTTAAAAATAAATGATGTTTTTTATTATATTTTATCTTTATATTAATTATTGGGTCTATATTAGTTGATCTACGGATAAATTATGAATGATCTTCATTAAAGGTAACATAATATTTATCTTTTAATGNGAAATGTTGTATAACATATATTTTTTTCAACTATTTTTGTCCAGCAGTAAAAGAGGAGTAGTCTTTACAAAATGCCCATTTGGCGCGGATTGAGGACACTAATCGCCTTAAGAGAGATATTTCTTTAATCAAACCACAGATAGCGATATTAATTATTTATTAAACTTTATTGACAAGTAATAAGGTTTTTGCAATAGGTAACAGATAACAGCATCTCAATCTAAACACTATGGGTCTTATGCCGTTGTAACAGGTGCCAGTTTTCAACAAGTTGTCAAGTGTTTGCCTATAGTGTTTTGAAAGTCCTTAATTTGCACTTGAGGGTTAAATGCTGGATCTCGTCACCTGCCAAATGCAACTGGCAATCAGTCAAGTGGCGGGATGTTTGCATGACAGCTTACTAGGTAAATAGGTGCGACGACAGTGCACCGCTACTGCCAATTTTCTGTCAACGCACACCAGCGTTGCCAGTTTTTTTTTTTCGCCAAGTCGGGACTTTGGTACTTTTTGAGTGAAAATAGCGGGATTCTTCCGTCAAAAGCGGGACATAGTAAAAAAACGTATATAATCAAAGGTTTTCAAATATTTATCTTTTTATTTGACTTCAAATTACGTTTACGTGGCAATAGATAGCAAAAGTAGCCATAGAAAATGTATTTTAACAAAAAAATAATATTTTAAATCAGTATGGCTAGCACGAAAATCTTTCGAGTTCAAATCGCCATCAAAAGATTTAGTACGAAAACTACAACAGCACCGTTTTGTGGACGTGTCGTAAAGTGAACTTAGTGTAAGAAATGGTTGCACGAAACTTATTTTGAGAATCAAAATTGTCACGTTATCGTTTAATTTGAAGGTTGAGTATCGAATTTTATCGGATACGCAAACGATTCGAAGACGAATGTTGTTCATGCTAGAGGTACAGATTTACTCTATCATTAAATTCGTCTTTAGAATAAAAAAAGAAAAAATATCGAAATTAAAAAAGTTTTATTATTTACAATAATATGGCGTTTCAAACAATAGTCTGGTGAAGTGAGTGTTTCTCTCCGAAAAGCGGGACCGAGCCTGTCCCGCGCGGGACATTTAAATTTGATTAAAAAATCGGGACGTCCCGCCAAAATCGGGACGTCTGGCAACGCTGACGCACACTCATCTTTAACCTACTTTTCGTTAATTTCACTTAATTTTGATAAAAATATGCGATGTCATGCGTCAGCGAATACAGGGAAATGAGTCAAATTCAAAGTCTTAATACTGAAGTATATTTACAGAGCTTGTAAGATTGGTAATTTTTTTTTTTTTAAATACGTCACTTCCCTTCTCTTGACCGTTGGTCCTGCGGGTTTGATTCTCAGATGGTAAATCAGTCAAACGTTTGGCAATATGGTCTGGTTGACAGTTGTTTATAAATCAGATTTTTCTTTCTTTCTTTTAGACACTTCCCCTAGTTCTAACATTACCCTATCAAATTCATTGTCTCACTTTGTACATTTTTAAAACTTGTCACTAAATTATTATCTTACTCGTCTGGTATTAAAGTGAATTTTCTAAAAAGAAATGCTCTAATTTGAGGCAGTGTAACGATTGCTACGGAAATAGCCCGCGTAACCCACTTTACGTCACACCCTGAGTTGATCCAGGGTTGACCACACTTTTCCCATGGAAACTACGTTTTTCTTTTATCTTTCCGCTTTAGATAGCAACATAAAAGACCAACTGGTATTCTCAAAAAGGCCATCTTCTCAAGGAAAAAGATGGTAAAAAACATAACCCTCCTTCTGGCGCAGTCGGGTAAAAATCGTGAGGTCGAAGACCGATGGACGTTATTTGGCACTTGGATCTGATTTTCACGTCGTACTTGATTGAACCTATGAACTTCCTTTTGTCGGGTGACACTGTTGTAATATTGTAACATAGGTACAATTAATTTAATGTTTTGAATATAAATTGCAGTTAGCAACCCTAGTGTATATTATGACTTCACAGAATGGAATGCCGAGTACAAATCAGTTTTATTACCATTGAATATTTGCAAGCGAATTTGAGTCTAGTAAATGGAGCATAATGTCAAGTCTGAAAATATATTATTGTGAAGCAGTCATACTAACTAACTGTGGCCTGTAGCCTGTAGTGTAGCTACATAAAATAATGATTATACTCCACAATGAATGCAACAACTTTCCCCTAGAGCAGGGTATCCAGGGCCGGATCGTGAATTTGTGGGGCCCTGGGCTGAAACTACTTGGGGGCCTATCATAGTACTCAACTAGTAGCCATGCCAAAAAACTGTTTCTATAATGATATAACTACACTGGTCATCACAAAAATCGACCCTCCCGCGACAAGCACTTTCAAACGTATGCATCCCCACTTCCCACCAATATTGGCACCATTTAAATAAAAGCCTAGTTCTAAACTTCATTTCATTAAAGGAAAGGTTTTTTTACCCCAAAAATGTGTCTGTAGAAGAATCCAGAGTCACTTCTTCAAAAAATAGGTAGTTACGCTTGAGCCAACTTTTATGGCTATAAAACTGTTAAGTTGGGATTAATATCCATCTGTTAAAGAGGACACGTGAGATCATTATTTCCGATCTCTCTAGCTACAATCACGGCAAAGGTCCTTGACAGTGTGCTTGACTCTCTACTAGATAAATATTTAAAATCACATGATGCTCAATTCGGGTGTAAGCCTGAACTGTCGACCGAGTGCGCCATCCTTAGTCTTAAGCACACTGTCAGGTACTACACGGATCGGGGGACTCCCATTTACGCATGCTTCCTCGACCTCTCCAAGGCGTTCGATCTTGTGTCTTATGACATCCTTTGGGATAAGATGAGGAGGCAGGGCATACCGTCAGAAGTATCACAAATATTCCATTATTGGTATGCTAACCAAATTAACAGCGTAAGATGGGCTAACGCTTTTTCTGAGGAGTATGGGTTGCAGTGCGGGGTGAGACAGGGTGGGCTGACGTCTCCCAGGCTTTTCAACCTATACGTCAATGACCTCATTGTTGTCCTTAGCAGTATGCGTATCGGATGCTGGGCAGATGGTGTTTGTATCAACAACATAAGCTACGCTGATGATATGGTACTGCTGGCGCCAACAGTGGGGGCTCTCAGAAAGATGGTGGGTGTGTGTGAAGCGTATGCTAAATGCCATACAGAAGAGCGGATACATGGTATTTAAAGCCGCCAGTAAATGTCCAAACGTGGTACCCGACCTCTTGCTGAATGGGGTAAAGTTAAACAGAGTCACTAAATTTAAATATCTCGGACACTACGTTACTGATGACCTTAAAGATCATGTTGATATCGAGAGGGAACGAAGGGCGCTGGCAGTAAGGTGTAATAAATGTTGACCCGCAGGTTTGCCCGATGTAATGACCATGTCAAGATCACTCTGTTTACAGCATACTGTCAGAGTCTATACACCGGGAACCTGTGGACCACGTACTCGCAGAAATCGCTTAGCGTCCTTCGGGTCCAATATAACAACGGTTTCAGGGTGCTGTTGGGCTTGCCTCGCTTCTGCAGTGCTTCGGAAATGTTTGCTCAGTCGCATACTGACGGCTTCTTTGCTGTCCTACGCAAGAAGACTGCCTCGTTGCTCAGTAGGATACGGGCGAGCCCCAACAGTATCCTGAAGACCGTGGCGGAGAGGTATGACTTTCCTATTATCCGACATTTCCTTCGGCTACTTCTTACCGAACGGGTTGGATAATTAGTGGTATGTTATAATAAATAAATTACTATCATAGTATCATAGGCACCCATTTACTAACCATGTGGATCATTGTTATCTTTAAATGAATAAATTGAATTGAATTGAATTATTTGGTTTTATAACCATAAAAATTGGTCTAATTGATCCCAGAGGTGAGCCCAAAGTGAGGTCTTTTTTCAAGTCACATTTATTGTATATCGCGTTTATGTTAATCGTTTATTAAGAAATTAAATGTGTTTTTCTTTAAGGATATTTATTGGGCTTGATTGTGTCAGTAGAAACGAGTTTTCCTGTAAAACGAAGGTGGGCCGATTTTTGTGATGACCAGTATATTATTCTTATACATAACGGGTGAAATTATAACTGTGTTGATTTCTTTTTAAATTAGGGCTGTATGGTTTTTTGTTTTATTATTAATATTTATTTTGTTTCATTTTTTAATCCATAAAAAAAATTACATCATATATTTTTTATTGTACAAAAAACATAAATATTACTTAAATCTACGCAAGTATTAGTTGTACAAAAGGTGACCTTATTGATGTGTAGCAATCTCTTCCAGGTAACCTTTGGGTGAGAGAGAAACCGAAATAGAGATGTACATTGTATAAGAGAAAAATTTTAATCAATATTTTCTTATGACGTTGTCACGTAAATATATCGTCCGTAAACCGACTTTACAGACAACTATTTTTTTTTTCAAATACTTTTTAGCGGGATCTGGGGGCCCCTTGTAACCCCGGGGCCCTGGGCTGCAGCCCAATCAGCCCATAGGTAGATCCGGCCCTGAGGGTATCCCAATTTTTTTTTGCCAAGGAACCCTAATTGATTATACTTTTCCTAGCGGAACCCCCGTACTACTCCGCCCGCATGCCCTGCCCCTTCCTTGTGCGTAAACAAGTCAGTGCGAGCGAACGTCGGTCACGAAACGTGGGATAATATTTTTTACGGAACCCTTGCGGCCTTTCCACGGAACCCCAGGGTTCCGCGGACCACCATTCGGGAACCGCTGCCCTAGAGAACGAAGTTAAAAAAAATAAAAAATACCTTTTTATAGAATATTGTCACCAGTACAGATGATTTCTCATTTTTGAAAATTAGATTTCGAAAAATCTGGCAGCAAGAAATCTTTGGAAGAGACCTTTTTCCAATAGTGGACGTCATTTGGCTGAACGAATCTTTCTGAAGCTCTGCAGCGGCCTTTGTGGAAATCTATGGGGAAGTTTTTGTCCAGCAGTGGACAGCATTGGGTTGAAATGACGACCCTTATAACAGATTTATCTCGTCATGGTTTAGAACTAACATGACTAAATAATAAAATTTTTGTTTCTCTAATAATTTGATATTAATAATTTCGCTAGAACACAGATTCGTTTATTTTCTGCCACTGCATTTACCTCGAATCCAAGATCACTGCAAGGGGACCTTGACATCTTAAGAGAGATGCCAAAATAACATAAGCGTCTTCGGGCAGCTGTATAAATCATTTCTGGACCAAAATAGAACTGTTTATGTGCACCTACCCTACCCACCTGATGTTTACCTCTATTTTATTGGTCTCTTTAAATAAAATGTAAATAAAATTGGTACATATTATTAGGATGCTACGAGTATTGAGTCTCTCGATAATATCAAATGCAAATTTTCTCTGTTATTGTCTAAATAAATTGGTCGAAAGTTGAGCATTTACTCGTACCTACCTCAATACTTTAAAACCACCGACGAAAAAAAAATACCGAATAATTTTTGTTGATAATGTTCACGTAACTAATTATTTATTATCTGGTCATAAATAATTCTTTCTTTCTTTTCAGCCAAATGACGTCCACTGCTGGACAAAGGCCTCCCCCAAGGTTTTCCACAATGAACGGTCCTGCGCTGCCCGCATCCAGGCTCTTCCCGCGACCTTTACCAGATCGTCGGTCCACCTAGTAGGAGGCTTGCCCACGCTACGTCTTCCAGCCCGTGGTCGCCACTCGAGAACTTTCCTGCCCCAACGGCCATCGACTCTACGAGCTATGTGCGCCGCCCACTGCCACTTGATTTTAGCAATTCTGCGAGCTATGTCGGTTATAGCGATGGGCGTTATTCGTTATCACGGGTTATTAAACGAGTGATCAGCCTGACCAGTGATCACTCGTTATCCAGAAACGCCTAAACTAGTTTTTTTCTTAACGTCATACAACGTTAGAATCTCTTCGTTATTCAACACGATTGTTTCCACAACGCTCTAAAGCTAAACTGATTTCACTCTTAAGCAAACAACATAAGGTAGATATTTGGTTGACATAAAAAATAACGTGTTTCCCGCTTCGTTATGACAGATTTGGTGACAAAGTCGTACATTGACGATTATTAAACATATTTTTTGTGACCTAAAGGAGTAAAGCGAGTAATGTATGGTGTCCAATTAATAAGGATCGTAACGAAACGAGTGCGTGTGCGAGTGAGAAAGCCATAGGGCGTTAACATAAGTGTGGATGAAATAGGTATAATGTTCGTCGTACGTTAGATATTCAATTGAATTTGAGTCTTATTTTGAAGGTCATAAGTTCCTAAATGCCTTGCAGCTAACCAAACACCTAACGTTATAATTATCACGCTTGCTTGAGAGTTGTGGAAATAACTTCGTTTAAAAAAAACTAGTTTTGAAAACGTTATTCGTGATTCGAAAACCGTCGCGTTTAGTTATTTCAAAAACCCATAACGACACATCTTTAGTCGGTTACTTTGGTCACTTTGGTTCTCCTGCGGATCTCCTCATTTCTGATTCGATCACGCAGAGAAACTCCGAGCATAGCCCGCTCCATCGCCCTTTGGGTGACCTTGAGCCTTCTTATGAGGCCCATATTAAGCGACCATAAATAATTATAAGAAATCTATTTTCATTTTCTAGATGGCGAAAGAAAATGCTGATATTCCTTACGAGGTAAGTAAAACCATAACAAAAATAATGACATCTATGAAAATAGACAAGCATTTTCTATGCTAGCCGCTTCCTTTAGCTTGCTGAAATAAGCAGATCCACTAACAATCCCTGTAACACCTTTTGTCCTCTTGTCAATAGATGGCTCTAATCAGAAAGTTAGTTTAAAATTTTCCTAAGAGATGGCGCTAAATACCAAAAATAAAATAAACGATCTTTTCCTTCAACAATAGAGGGCAGTGACTGTCTGGTATTCTTGAAACTAAAAATAACAATTCAAAGTGCAACTTTATTTAAGTTGTGGAACTTTTTGTAGTAGATTGTAGATCCATTGTAGTCAACATGCGGTATATCGAAGAGAAGAACGTCAGTTTTGAACATGTACGTAATAAAATTAATTTATCATTTTAACTGTCTCAGTACCTATAGTAAAGTTTGAAATAGTTATAGTTAGCGCCGTTGCATTTAAATTAATTTTGTTAGTTTCTTATGATGCGGTTATTAAATTTTTCAAGATAAAAAGCAAAAAAATAAAATGATGCCAGGAATCTTTGACGAGCTACGAGTATCTTTATAGATTATGAAGGAAAATAAAATTACTTTTATCGGTATTTAGCCTTAGGAGCACAAAACATAATAATAATAATATTATATAAGAAACAATAGTACAACCTACCTATTGAAAGAACCATAAAAACTAGACTGACCCAAATATTTTAACCCTTAAAAATGCACTTACCAAAATACACTCGCTGAGTTGCACCACCTAACTTTGACCGTAACTATAACGATAACCGGTGTTTTTTGTGTGGAGTTTGACAGATTTTTGACGTTTGTCAAACTTAAAGTACAATGGTGCAACCCAGCCTAAAGAATAAACCTGTAACTTCCAGGTGAGATCGTCGGACGAGCTCGGGCGCTACTTAGTGGCCGCCAGAGACCTGTCCCCTGGCGACTTGGTGCTCACGGAGCGTCCCTTGGTCTTCGGGCCCAAGGGTATGCCTGACCCGGAGGCGGTCATGCCCTGCGTCGGCTGCTATAAGCCTGTATCAACAGAAGCTGGAGAACGGTGTTCGAAGTAAGTATACTCGTATTCACCGTTAAACTTTTTTTCATGTAACAGGAGGCAAACGAGCAGACGGATCACCTGATGGTAATTTCCAAATTAATACGAACTAACTTTTGCCCGCAGCTTCAGTGTAATTTAGGGTGTTACAGATCGTTATAAATTTTATGGTACCTATACCTAATGCACAGCGTTGAAATTGGTTCGTTCGTGCGTCCACGCGCACTGTGAGACTAATGAGAAAGGGCGCAAGACTCATCATTGGTCTCGCCATCTTAGGCTGGGTTGCACCATCTTAATTTAACGTCAAAAATCTGTCAAACTCCATACAAAAAACACCGGTTATCGTTATAGTTACCGTCGAAGTTCTTTAGGTGGTGCAACTCAGCCTTAGTTTCTTAGTTTTAAAATAACAAAAACAGCGTACAATACCAGTGTTGCCATCTCCACAGGTGCGGCTGGCCAGTCTGCTCCGGCAACTGTCCGGGTCTGACGGACCCCCGGCACCACGGAGCCGAGTGCCTCATCCTCAGCGCCAGACCCGACTGCGAGCTGAAGGACATGTTCAACTATTACAGGTTAATAAATAAAATAACGTACAGTGTTGGGTAGTGAAAAAAGGTTGGCAAAAACTTACTTAAACATTCACGATTTTTTTTATTTGTCGAGAGGAAAATGTTCGTTTTATTCATACCTAGCTCATTTATTTCTTTCTCAAACGGGTCATTTTTGCGTCTATTACGGAAGAAGTTATCGTTGTTTGATAGTTCACATGTAATTTCATTTCAGAAAATCGATAATTCAAGTTTATGTCAACCTGAATCTAACAGCAAACTATTTAGAAGAAAATACGAACTCACCTTCAAATGATTTTTTTTTAAAAATGTCCCTTCTGTAGGATTTGTTATTGAATTAAGATGTCAATAATCTACGAAAAGCTTTACCCTTTCCGTACTCCGTAGGTACTTTCCGTAAACATTTTTTAAACATTTTAAACATTTTTATTTATTTCCACACACATTATCACTATCTTTACAGGTACTTAAAACCTAATGCGATAGCATAACTTAATCTAGGTAGGCTTAATAATAACTTAACAACTAACCATACAGTATTTATTTACATTTTATAACTAATAATACCCAAAGCCGTCCTTGTGAATTCACTCAGAGAACACGCAAACACGTCCACTTGTTCCGCTATCAAGTTAATAGTGCGCAAGGCGCGCGTGAGCGGCGCCTCGGCCAGCAGGTTGGTCCGCGCGCGCGGGAGCGCCAGCAGCCGCGGCGCGCGCCGCCGCTCCGCGTACCGGTCCGGCACACTGAATCGCACATGTCGAAACAGCTCCGCGTTATGCACCCTCCCCCTCAACATTTTGTGGATATAACACACCAACGCGAAGTCTCTCCTGACCCTCAGCTCGCTATACCCAACCATTCCCAGAACAAATAAATTAGGGTATTTCAGCGGATAAAATGGATAGACCCCATACAGCTTCAAGTACAGATACCTAATGAACTTGTTCTGAACCCGTTCCAACATGAGCTTATATTTAGTTTCGTGAGGTGCCCAGATAACCGCATTACACTCCAGCTGACTTCTGACTAAGGCGTTATATAAAGCACAAATCGCGGTGATGTTCGAGAACCCATGCGCTCTGCGCAGTATAAAGCCCATGCTGCGATATGCTTTCTTGCATATACTGTTTATATGTTCACTAAACGAAAGATTGGAAGTCAGCTGCACGCCTAGATCTCTAACCTCTACGACCCTTTGCATAGTTACACCTCCAACCTCATAGTTATGTACTACAAGATTACGCGCCCGTGATAACGTTCTGTATACAGGCACGACGCGCTTCTGCCGCTGCGCTGCGTGCTACTTCAATCCGTTGACCCTGACAAGTGGAGCAAGCTGACCGAGATGCAGTCTCACATGGAGTGCCGCACTCCTGGCACCGAGGCCTATGAGTAAGTACTTTTGGTGGACCATCCACTCACAATGTGGATTGATGTGATGACCTTATAAAGTTTCCAGGAAGGCACTGGATGCAGGCCATGTGGAAATTATTAGCGGATGCCTATTTTAAGCAGCGGATAGTCCTATGACTGAAATAATGATGATGATGACTTAGTTTAAAAAAAATTCTAACTCGGGCTAAGCTCGAACATACACCATGATTATGTTTCCTTTAATTAAATCTCCCTTATTTTCCAGTGACGCCAACGAGTTCATCGTGGAGTACCTCATGAATAACTTCATAAGCAAGCTAGACGAGGCCACCAAGAAGAAACACTTACCAAACATTTCCCCCGACCTCATCCACAAGATGTGCGGCATTATCGACACCAACGCCCTAGAAATCCGCCACCCAGAAGGCTCAGAGTTGCTTGCCCTGTTCACGAATACTTGCATAATGGAGCACAGCTGCATTCCCAACACTAAACACACATTTGCACAATCAGTTAAAGACAAAAACGAGTTGTTTAGGATTACACTCAAAGTTGTAGTGCCAGTACAAAAGGGGAATCATATAACTACGATGTACAGTCATGCATTGTGGGGAACCCAAGCTAGAAGACAGCATTTGAAAGATACCAAATACTTCGCCTGCAAATGTCAAAGGTGCAGTGATCCAACTGAATTAGGGACTTATTTGAGTGCTATGAAATGCCTAGGAGATGATGGGAATCCATGTGACGGTATCCATCTACCCGAAGATCCGTTAGATGATGAAACGGAATGGGCTTGTAACAAATGTTCAGTCAAAATCAACAACTCCCAAGTGAATATGATAATTTCACAGATGGGTGAAGAAGTGGAGAATGTGCAGATGATGGGTGGATCTCCGATGATGCTGGAGAATCTTCTGTGTAGACTGTCAACTTTTCTGCATCCTAATCATTACCATTTGTATGCAATTAAGCATTCTTTGATTCAACTTTATGGGAGACTTACAGATCAAATGTCCCAAAACATGCTGGATAAGAAAATTATGATGTGTAGAGATCTAATCAAAATAACAAAAACTTTAGACCCGGGCAATGCTAGATTAAGCTTGTACAACGCTGTATTACAGTATGAGTTACATACAGCTTTGGTATTATCTGCTAAAAACCCAAAGAATGATGGCACTCCTAGAACTGATGAAGAAGTAAAACAACTGCTAGTGGAAGCGAAAGATACTATTGAAGATGCGATTGTTTCATTAAAAGACGATTTAGAAGAGACATCAGGAAACCAACTTCTAGAAGTCATTGTTAAGAGCAAGAAGGAATTTGACAAGCTCTGTCAAGAAAAGAAGTAATCAGTGTCAAAATTTGGTTTTATTTTAAAGTTTTTTATGTTTTTACAAATAAATATTAATAATACTTAAAGTAATATCACAGGGAATTCTTTGTTACAGCTCTGCTCAATATAAACTTGTTTTGATTTCGTGTATCACTTATTAACAATCTGTATAATTAAGAACATGCCACTCATGCTTACAGTTGATACCTACTTAATTACAACATTTCATTCTTCATTGACTTCATGCTAATAAATCATTAAAATTAGGTTAACTTATCATTAAAACAACGTAACAGTAAATTGATGGTAATTTGGTTCAGGGTTTCGATCTTTGGATAATTTATTTGTAAAACCATACAGCTTTTTATTTTGCAGAGAAATAAAAATCTATTAGGTCTTTTCATTAGAGGCTTGCACCATCAGTGAAGTATATTATACTGATGGTGATGAGAAATATGACAAATACGAAAAAAGTAACGCATAGATTTGGTTTTTTAATTTAAATATACCCAAACATGCATAGCTTTTTATACATGTAACCCGAAACTATACCTAAATAATCTGGTATTTTTAGATTTTCGATCAAACAAAAATGCTGCGTTACATGCAAACTTAGTAATGTTATGGAAAATAAGTTAATTTCGCGGTTTGGCTTTCTTTTTATTTCACTAGTCATGACTTCATGCAGGATATCTTTAGTACCCAATTTTATTTAGATTATCGATGACCCTCTTCCCATCATGTCCTCCTCGGATACCACCTCAGCCCTCTAGCGTTGTTCTCGCTAATGCTCTGGAATATCCATTCCGTATACCTGGATAGCTGCGTGTATACCGAGTCCCGGCATCTTTTTGCTTTGTTGTATCTTTATTTTCAATTTCACTAGTAAGTGATGTTAGTTAAGTTAGCTATCATGACGTAGGTGGACAACTTCCATTTTGATTTTCAATGATTACACCCTACTCCTGGGATACCATCTCAGACCTCTAGCGTTGTCCTGGCCAATACTCTGGACTATCCACTCCGTATACCTGGACACCCTGGTGTACACTCCTGGCATCTTTGCGCGCGCGCAGCCACTGCCTGTCGATACCACACCCACTACCATGGCGTGGCGTTTGTCTTCGCGGATCATGAGAGGACCGCCGCTGTCAGCCTGAAATGAATAATTTCTATTAATTTTTCTGAGCACTAAATGTATGGAAGCTGGAAATACTGAATTTTTGGATCGCTTCAGCTTCAACCAAATGACGTCCACTGCTTGACAAAGGCCTCCTCCAAGAGGCAGAGCCAGAGCCAGAGACTCCTCTTCCTTCGTTGGGACAGAAAAGTTCTCGAGTGGCGACCACGGGCTGGAAGACGTAGCGTGGGCAGGCCTCCTACTAGGTGGACCGACGATCTGGTAAAGGTCGCGGGAAGAGCCTGGATGCGGGCAGCGCAGGACCGTGCATTGTGGAAAACCTTGGAGGAATTTTTGGATAGATCCAGTTTATTCTGTAACCACTTTTAGGAGCAGTTCACTGAAGCTTTTCGATATCCTGTATGGTTTAGAAATAATCGAGTGAGATCACTTATCGTTTCCACTCTGTATGCTATGGTTTCAAAGTTTTCAAGCTTTTGTTGGTTCAGGTACTGGACAAGTTACTAACCAGTAGTCATAGGTTTGATCCTTGCACTGTAAGTACAAATATTTGTAATTCGTTGTGGTACCCTTAGTAAATGTTTAGAATTTTAACATTTCCAAGGACATATTGTGACCATATCACTCGTCTTCAATAACAGTTTACTGACACACGATTTTGCACTTTAATTCTCCTACTTTAGAGTCTAAATCTTACCCAGCAAGAGTCTCGGCCTCCCTGCTCGTGTCCAGCGCACATTTGAGTCGGGATGATCTTGAGCTTGCTCCCTTGGGACTAGTACCATTGGTTGCATTCGTCGATTGTAACCACCACCACACTCGTGAATAACAGGTTGCTGACACACGATTTCGCACTTTAATTCTCCTACTTTAGAGTTTAAACCTTACCCAGCAAGAGTCTCTGCCTCCCTGCTCGTGTCCAGCGCACATCTGGGTCGGGATGATCTTGACCTTGCTCCCTTGGGACTGGTACCATTGGTTGCACTCGTCGTTTGTGACCACCACCACACTCGTCTTCTGGAGGACGTTGGGCCTGGATCCTGAAGAGTAAAGTTGGCATAGAGATAGTTTGAGTCCTGGGAAAGGACGTAGGATAGTTTTTATCCCGGTTTTTGAAACATGGACGCGCGAAAGCTAGTAAGCATATAAGGTTCATTAGGCAAAACAACTTCTGTGGATAAGATGGAGAATAGTGTTTACTACTACTTATGTACTGTCGTTAACCTACATTGATACATTTATTCAATTCAACCTTTTGATTAAGTCTTTGATATTGTAAATTATAATTATAAAAGCGATCATAATTTATTATGGAATTGAAGAAAAATATAGTGAGAAGTTCTATAATAAAATTAAATGCTAAAGTATTTTCATTGTATTATAATGAAAATTCATAATTTCACAAAAAAATTCAATTGAAATGTCTTTTACTTGTTTTTGACAGTAAAATTAAATTAAAGGAGTGTCGAAATACAGTGGACGTTGTTATTGCGCCTTTAAGTTTTTTCTTTTTACTTTTCACATTTTATTAACAGAAAATATCTAGAAATTGGTATCCATAATATTTTTTCTGCACTAATTATAAAGACGAACAAAACATGACCATGATTTATTTATTTATTTAAAATCTTTATTGCACACATAAAAAACAGTGGTACAACAGGCGAGCTTAATGCCATGTGGCTTTCTCTTCCAGCTAACCATGTTATGTTTTGAAAATACTGGACCGATGTGAAAAAAACTTTTACCATTACATTATCCCTGATGAACAATGAACATAGGCGATAGAGTATTATCAAAAAGGATCTGTATGAAAACTTCATCATTTCAGCCATAGGACGTCCACTGCTGAACATAGGCCTCCCCCAATGCTTTCCATGTTGATCGATTGGTAGCGGCCTGCGTCCAGCGCTTCCCTGCTACCTTTACGATGTCGTCGGTCCACCTTGTAGGTGGACGTCTCACGCTGCGTTTTCCGGTACGCGGCCTCCATTCCAGAATCTTTCTGCCCCATCAGCCGTATGAAAACTTCATTAGGTAGGTATTTACTCTACCATTTTCCGAGTCACCTCATGTCACTTATTGTTGATTGACTGGGCGGTACGAATTTCGCCGGGTCAGCTAGTATATCCGAAAGTCGTTACCTATAGCTCTGTCTTCGTTGGTGAAGCCCCATCCAGCCACAGTGGCAGTGGTCCCACTGAAGTCCTGTGCCTTAGGTTGAGGGAGGCAAGCAGGTCTCAGATCTTCGGTCCACTTGAGCTGTCGTACAGTTTTTAGGAGAGCGACATCGTTGGCTTTTCTGTTGCATCTGAAATTAGTGTTTTGGTACAAAACAAAAGAGGAGTGTGTTCTAAATAATGACGTCATTAATTTATTAATTTAGAGAATTTGAATGGTTAGTCGATATTTTTGATGATTGATCGTCGTTTATTTTAATAAGGAACGTCTAAACTTCTAAACGTAACCCAATGAGTGAACGTTTTTTGTTTTGTACCGGTAATATCAGTATTTTTTACGAATGTCTTTGAAAAATAATAACCATTATTAGATACAAATACTCAGCTTCAGCATTCAGTCGATATCTACACTAATATTATAAAGAGGTAAAGTTTGTGTGTTTGTATATTTGTTAAATTGTAAGGGGTAATCTCGGGTTCTACTGAACCGATTTTAAAAATTATTTCACCAATAAAAAGCCACATTATTGCTGACTGTCACAGGTTATATTATACACCCGAAAAACTCCACGCGGGCGAAACCGCGGGCGGAAAGCTATCATTGACATTGATAAAACTTTTTTGTCAAAAGAAAATAGGTAATCATTATCTTGAAGAATAGATATTTATATGTCTTATTATAATTTGAACATAATTTGAATAGATTAGGTAACCCCAAGTGGGTTCACTGCTTTTGAGGATTTTCGAGAAAAAGTTTTTATTTGGACTAATTGATTCATAGATTTCATCGCACTTTTCAAAAATATTACTGAGTAGGTATTAAATTCATCACCATTGTTCTCACTATGGTATTTTTATCATCGTCATCATCCTTTCAGGGGTTACCTACGTGAGTGCGACAAACGTTACATCGAATTTTGTTTCTTCGAAAACCTTTCTGCGAAGTTACTATACTGCGACGCCTTGTTATATCGATGCCTTGTTACTGCGATGTTACGTTACATCGAAAAACTTTACTGCGAACGATTTTACTGCGAAATTATGTACATAGTCATTTTTAATGAACGAGTGAGTAGTAAGTATCATTATAAAAATACAAATCAATAGGTAGGCATATATTTTATAATTTATTTATATTTATGTTTCTATTCTCATGTTATTTAATCAATGATGCAAATGTTAAATATGTGAAATAAGTAAATAAAATTTAATGTATTTAGAATCTTATTTTNGCCCAAGGTCATTGAGGACTCTAATCGCCTTAATCTCTCTACTCGACCTGTGGTTGACTGGCAGATAATGCCACCTGGCATTAAGTCCGCCACTGTACATATGTATGTGCAAAAGTGTAAATAAATAAATAAAAAATAAATAAAATAAAAAGATAAACTGTTGTTAACCCTAGACAGATTCGGGTGCCTTATATGCCTTATTTTAATTTATTTATTTAATAGGACAACCAATAAGACATAACCTAGAAGACAATCAATATTTACAACGTATGATGATTGATGACGCTATTTGTTCTTATTTTATCAATACATTTTTGTACAATTCTGCAGTGCCATTCTAAGCACGTGCCCGAGTAACTCGAAAAGATAACAATGCAATTACGTATTTATCGTGTTTCTTAGAAATCATTTTTTCTTATCGTTAAAATTCACAGAAAAGGCTGTTTCGTAACGTTCGATCATTCATTGTTCTGTATGATAATTTATTTTTAACGAACAGGTAACTGAAGTATAAGATAGATAGATTTTATTTAGAGGCTGTATAGGGCCAGCTGACCAAGCATTAGAGTTGAAAATCATTAGAATATTTGCTAAATAAAACCACAATCATATTTGTTGAGAAGGGAAAGTCTCTGGTAATCCCAATGTAATCTAAATATAATATGTTTGTCAGTTTAATCTGGTACTTGACATCATATTGAGTTGGCGTAAATATACCTTATAATAGGTCCTTTTTGCTACACGCAAAAAGAAAGAATGTTTTACCCTTAACCGGGCTCAAAAAAAGTAATTGGTTTTCAAGCGTATCTTCACTGCGCAGCGTAAAGTTCAAAGTGAAGTGGGCTCTGTGGATACCAGAGCCTGGTTAAGGGTTAAATATTTTTCATAAATTACCAACCCAATTACTAACAAAAGTTTACTATTCCAGCAAAGTCGACTGAAATCTTCGATGCTGAACGTAGAAGGTGGCGACAAGGACCTACGCGCGTCACGTGACGTCTGGCGGCGCCTGCGCGTTGACGAGGCCCTATTGAGGTTACGAGTGGCGCACGCAGCGCGGGCATTGGCTGGCCTTGATGATACCGCCTTCACGCTTGATAAGCAGCGCCTGCAGCTTGACGCGGTAAGTCATCATCATCATCATTTTGACTCCACTGCAGGAACATGGCCATCACCAATTTACTAAAGGATGGAGAATTTGGCCTTCTGATTTGATGGGTGGCGAAAAATTCATGTTCGCATATTTAAATGTTCAGCTGTCTTAGCCAAATGAGATACTCGTGCGATATATGGCGGCGCCTGCGTGTGGACGAAGCACTATTGAGGTTACGAGTGGCGCACGCAGCGCGGGCATTGGCTGGCCTTGATGATACCGCCTTCACGCTTGATAAGCAGCGCCTGCAGCTTGACGCGGTAAGTCATCATCATCATTTTGTCTCCATTAGAGGAGTATGACCCTTTCCAATTTACCAGAGGATGGAGAATTTGGCCTATACTCCCCACGCTGGCTGGATTGGGGAAGCCCGATGCTCGCGTGTTTCTACCCTACTCCACGGCGGGAAGATTGGGGGTGGTCCTGTTCTATGTCAGAGCCACGTGGCCCTGTACAGGGCTAGCATTTTGTCTCCACTGTAGAAATGCCCTTGCGCTGGACCGATCAAGTCAAAACCGCACTCAATGGTCCACTCCACGAGTGTACAAGATAGGCTGCAATGTAATAATCCACGGGAAGAGTGGGAGTGGCTTATAAATAGGCGAAGAATAATTTGCGCCGGAACCACACGGCTAACGATATTTGCAGCCTATCTCTGCTAAATGCTCTGGAATACTTGTGCAACGACCAGTCGAGGGATGATGCAAACATCTAGAAAACTATCTTAAGTAGATTCGAAGTCACCTGTAGGGCTAAGATGCGCGCCGTGACAACTTTTATCGACGTCAAAATGTATGGGCAACATCCAACATCGATAAAATGGCGTGATAACCGCTTATCGCGGCGCGCATCTTAGGCCTACTGGCCTTGTTCTCCAAATGCACGAAGCGATTCTAAAAAGCACTGAACCCAAACTCTTTGCATAGGCCATGAACGAGCGCCTGGTGGAGATCTCAGCCCGCCGCGACATGTTCCTGGTGCAGAAGCGCGCGTTATTTGAAGACTGCGGCAAGCTGCGCAGCGAGATACGCGAGCGTGAGCAGCGCATCGAGCAGCTCAAGAAACGGTAATACTTAACCTTTGATGCCTATGGAACTCTTCTCAACATTCGTTCCTACCACTGCACTTCCTGTGTAGCCAAGATCTACAGCATGTATTCTAATGAAAAGCCTACCAGTGAAGGCTAAGTTTGTCTCAGGGTCTTATATGCCTGCTATTCTAGAATTTCTTCAGTTATTTTGACTAGCACAAACCTCACAGGCACAGCATGTCTATCTTTTTTTTTTATAGAGATTGCACATGATACACGGTTAAAATTCTATGATTCTTCTATTAATTCTACTGACAACATAGGTAAACGTAAGCCTAGGCGCAGACCACCGACTTTTAGTTGGCCGATAGTTGGACCCGATTTTAATTTGTATGAAGAATCGGCCGATACCAAATCGGTGTAATGTGCGCACTTTCATACATCTCCATACTGATTAACAGCCCGACTAAACTATCTAACTAAAAGTCGGTGGTCTGCGCCTAAGTTAAAAGTTTTTGAACGGATTTGGCGAAAATATGATAGAAAGGAAAGTGATACAAAAATAACGATGTTGAATTTTCAGGTACGACATATTCATTGGATCTCTTGGCAAGGACGAATCAGGGCAGCAGCTGTCTGTCACTTTCTTCAAGATTAAAGTGAGTTCTTACCATTTATTTACTTATTAATCTATACTTTTTAATATTATAAAGCTGAAGAGTTTTTGTTTGTTTGTTTACTTGAACGCGCTAATCTCAGGAACTACTGGTCCGATTTGAAAAATTCTTTCAGTGTTAGAAAGCTCATTTATCGAGGAAGGCTATAGGCTATATACCATCGCGATACGAGTAATAGAAGCAGAGCTACAATGAAAAATGATGCAAAAACGAGTTTTCACGCGTACGAAGTCGCGGGCGCAGCTAGTCTTTGGATAACATTAAATAAATACCCAATTATTGTGTTTACTAGTTCGCGGCAGAACGAGCCGAGCTCCGCACTAAGGGAGCGGCTTTGGACGCGGACATTGGGCGTCGTGAGCGCGACGTGTCGGCGCTAGAAGCCACGCTACGCGTCGTGCACGCCGCGCATCAACACTTCATGCATCACATCTCGCCGCTCGCAGATGATAGTGAGTCTTATGCCCGTTTTCACAATCAATCCCTTATTTTTAAGTGACTCCTATGGTAACACATAACAGAAATTATGTTTTCATAGGGGTCACTTCATCATTCATCATCATCATTTCAGCCATAGGACGTCCACTGCTGAACATAGGCCTCCCCCAATGCTTTCCATGTTGATCGATTGGCAGTGGTCTGCGTCCAGCGCTTCCCTGCTACCTTTACGATGTCGTCAGTCCACCTTGTAGGTGGACGTCCCACGCTGCGTTTTCCGGTACGCGGCCTCCATTCCAGAACCTTTCTGCCCCACCGGCCGTCAGTTCTGCGTACTATGTGCCCTTAAAGAGGGGTCACTTAAAGATTAGGGATTGATGGTGAAAACGGGCATTAGGCCGGCAATATACGGACCGCTTGAAACAGTCAGGGTCGACAGCTTCAAGCTGCGACTGCACAGTGAACTGCAAAGTTCTATGGACGCACATACACGAACCGCTCGAGCAGTTGCAACTGCTCGAGCGGTTCGTGTATGTGCGTTCGTGTATGTGCGTCGCCAGCCATACACTGACTGCTCGAGCTGTCGACAGTTCTCGCGCAGTTACCTCCGCCCACTTTCTTCATTCCACGGCGCGCGCGCTTGTGATTTGTTGAGCAGTTAATACCAACTGCTCGAGCAGTTATCACTGGCAGCTTCAAGCTGTTGACTCTTGACTGCAAGAGCGGTCCGTGTATGTTGATTACTGACTAACTGCACGAGCTGTCCGTGTATTGCCGGCCTTACACATATCATTCATCCAATACTGATACTACGGATACAACGGATTAGTAAGCTGAAGTGGCAATGGGCAGGGCAGATAGTACGCAGAACAGATGGCCGATGGGGCAACAAGGTTCTGGAGTGGAGGCCACGCACCGGAAAGCGCAGCGTAGGGCGTCCACCCACAAGGTGGATCGACGACCTCATAAAGGTAGCGGGAAGGCGCTGGATGCAGGCCGCCACTAACCGGCCATTGTGGAAATCATTGGGGGAGGCCTATGTTCAGCAGTAGACGTCCTATGGCTGAAATGATGATGATGATGATGATGAATACTGATACTTATAGGCTCTCCTTTAGTTAGATAATGGGGGCGTTTGGCGGAAAATACCTGGGGCGAATGTTATTCGCTTCAAATTTTTTTCACATGTCAATAATACCATGATTCCTCTCTCTTCTCAAGCTCCCGAGATCGACGAGTTGAATTCACTCACGAAGCAGTACTACGAGATGCGCGACGAGCTCAAAGCGCAGAACGCCTGCATCGATTCCCTGGAGCAAGGCATCGGCGATACCAGCAGCCGCCTCACTATGCTTTCTGACAAGAACAAGCAGCTAGCGGCTAGGCAGTAAGTGCTGTTATCAATGCGAATTTCTGCGGAATTTATAATTTCTGAATTTTTTATTTGCTTAGCTACGGTACGAACTATGTTTTTTTTTATATCGGTAAATGCTTTGCGACTAGTCGATAGGGACGGCTAGTGAGTTATGTGAGACTATTCCCATAAGAAAGCCGGTCTCCCCTCTAAAACTTGACGGTGTCCACCGGAGCCTAATGAGACGCAGTCGCGAGTTATTGTCCTAACCTAAAAAAATATCGGCGGCTCCATCTCAGGCTATGGTTCGCTCTCGAGCAAGCCTCCAGCTTCGAGGGGAACCACTATTCCTCTCGTGCCGCCCGGTTGTTTTAAAGAGATGGTTTTCTCCTTGTGGCCCTGGTGAAACAGGGGTGTATCTTATGTTTTAAAACAAATAAATAACGAGACTGTTATTATCAGGGCAGAAAGCGAGATGGAGCTAGAGACGGTGCGCGAGCGCGTGTCGCGGCAGGAGGCGCGGCTGCAGCACGCGCGCGACGTCGTGCGCCACAACGCGCGCCGCGCGCACAAGCTCGTCGAGGGCGTGGACGCCTGGCGCGTGTTCCAGGTCATTGTGAACTACTATCAGGGCAAGATAATACTTGGCCGGACAACACCGTAATAAGCCAAATATGTCCGGAAAAAGCTGGAAACCCTAGTTCCAGGTCATTGGAATCTTGAACTGTTTCTAGCGCTCAAGATATTATCTTCCAACAAGTTGCAGAGGAAATACTCTTTTGAGCTCCGCGTAACCTGCCGTCCGGCAAGACTTGTGTAGCCAGAATCTACTATCTCCCCTCTATCCCTCATATCAGCGCGAGATCTATGTAGCCTGCATCATCAATTCCCACATTTCCTTCCGCTACAACTTCTGTTCAAACAGGAACTATATACCCTTCGATCGGAACTCCTTTGTGTTTCGTGTGCTAGAATTAGAAGTATTCGAAATTATTTAATGTCTGAAGTACGAATTAGCTCAAAGTTTAACTTACACTTGCGTAGATGGCGCTATGGGTGCGCGATTACGCAGAAGCAGCGCAGAACGCGATACAGGCGCTGACAGAAGCGTGCGCGGGCGCGCCCGAGCACTCCGCTCGCTACGGCGCGCTGCTGGCTTCTACCGACGTGCAGCGCCATCTGTCGCGCCACCAGCGCCGACTGCACGCCATCATACACAGGTCCTACAAGTGCTGTATTTACTAAAGCCTGGTCCGTGAGCACGTAGAATTTTGTCCAATGACCCCAAGCTACCCATCCTTATCGCTCGCGTGTAATTATATTGCTGTCGCGACTGTGCGACGGGCGCCCGCAGTGAGTGTGCGAGCGTTTAGGCTATTTAGGTTTTAATTGGAAGTTCTGACAATAAAGTAGTTCATTACGCTATTCTTTCTTACGTTAAAAAGTTGCTAATTGCTTTGAATTTACTTAGTATTGAGAAAATGAAGTGTACAAAATAACTTGTTTATTTTTACAGAATTATTGCTGAAAGTGGTCCTGCGTGTGGAAAGGAATCGGCAATTATTGAGGTTGATGGTAAATATTTTTATATTTAATTTTACGCACTCATGTCAAGGCTACAAAAATATACCTATAAAAGATGCGAAATCCCTTGTAAGATCCTAATGGCATTTTGGATTGTTTCAGACACGGTGTTCTCGACGTCTTCGGAGTCGATTCGCAGCGGTGTCAGTATCGCGAGCGGCTACACTAAGCGGCTTTCTGCTTTCCGCAGGAGTCTTGCGCCGAAGGTGCAAGAGACGGCTGTAAGTACCACTCTATTTATCAATGAGGGCTGTCGCATATTTTGCTCTCGCCAAATAATCCTCTTACAGCGATCACCAGTTGGCGCCATTATCTTTTCCACTAGCAAGTAACTTTACAGTGGCACCAACTGGTACTCTGTAGTCGGTTACCTCATTGCTTTTTTACTAAGTTCAGAAAGAAGAAAGGTTCCCTGTATAATTAATGCTAGTATTTAGTTGTAATAATTGAAAAAACACTTCAACACTTCTAAATTATGTAACGTCCTATTTTTGCTGACCAAATTAAAAACGCGTATTTTTTTTTGTTTCAGCTGATTGACGACATACCGGAACAAGGTAATTATTTTTATTGGAGCGTGCGTTTATAATTAAATTGTAAAGAAACCATAAACAGCATTTAGAGATTCCGCACATAATATTGCTTTCCTGCTTAAACAGGTTGATAATATGCCGTGTGCAAACTACTGTAGGTACGATGGATTGGGCACATTTTTGAAAATTAATCATAATTAATTTTATCTAAGTAGGCTAATATTGTACTTCGAAAGTCATTGCTGTTTGTCACATATTCACGCTTAAGACAGTTGCAGGCCAAGAGCCAAGTTAAAATTACTCATAGGCCCATTTGCACAACATTTCAACAAATGAAACCAAAATAAAAAAATAAATAGAACGTCCTCCTTTTTTGAAGTCGGTTAAAATCGTCGTCGAGTTGAAATAACGAATTTAACATTGACTTTCATCTCATGCAAGCAGCCATATGTCAGCAACGGTGTGAAATACTGAACCATCCTACTAATATTATAAATGCGAAAGTTTCGATGTCTGGATGTTTGTTACTCTTTCACGCAAAAACTACTGAACGGATTTTTACAGTATTATTGTTTATAACCCAGAATAACATATAGGCTATAATTTATGACGATCTGTGACAAACTAAATTTCACGCGGGTGAAGCCGCGGGCATTAGTTAGGTATAATTTTGACCGAGATAGATTATATTGCTATGCTACGCCTACTACTTGACGGGAGAGACCTCACGGCAGTTGTACCTATTGATTTTCGATGAATAAATATTGAAGTAAGATACAGGCGCATTGTCACTGAAAATATTTGATCAATGTTCTCCGAACCTTAATTAATTAGTATTAACCGTGCCGTGTCGCATCGCGCCAGTTTCAGCCTGCTTGATAGATAAAAATCGAGATATAGATGACCCATGCTGAACTGTCCCGCCAAACTCAATGACAGGGGGGCGCTACCATCGTTCAACTATATGGTTTCCAACATGGCAAAAATCTGAACCAGCGATCCGGTATTGACGGTGGCGCCCCACTGTCAATGTCATCGACAGGACAGTCCAGTATTTTGGAACTATAAGAACATGTTTTCAAGTTTATCTGAATAATTTTGCATTTTTTACGCCGTGATCTATGACGCTAATAATAATAGTATGGAAAAATATTCGACAGATATAAGTCGCTCTAGAATCAAGATTTACCTATTACGATCGTTATGCAGCATTAACTATATTCTTATTGCAGCTCGGCGCTCGACGGTCTCGCTGCGCGTGGTGACACTGGGGCTGGAGGAGTCTGCGCCGACGCTCAAGCCGAGCCAGTTCATAGCGCGCTCGCGCAAGTCCCTGCGATGAATGCTAAACATTTACATTTTTGATACTAGACTTTACATTGTATGAATTATTTCGAGTTTTAATGAATTGAAAGATTTGGTGATAACAGAATAGAACTGTTATTTTTATTAAGGTATGGGCACACCAATGGTTGCAAGATAGGTGGAGGATTGAAGAAAAATGCTGGAAAAGCTAGAGTAAGCTTTTCTTGTTACAGAAAATAACGCTTCATGGCTTTGTATTTGAACTTACGAAATCTTTAATATTAATTTCATTCCAATATCTATCTAATCACTTGCAGTGTGCGCATGCACTTAAGTTTCGAGATTTTTCAACATTGATTTCGTAAAAAACAAAGATTTTGTGTTTCGAGAAATAAATGTGATTTTTATAATGTTTCTCTGCCTTTTTATTTTTACATAAGGTATAGAACTAGACTGATTCTGAATAAGTCTCCTGTTCACACAGTTAATTAATAAATTGAAAGTATGTGAAAGTGATTAATTAAATGAAAAATAAGAATTATTTTTAAATCTTTAATAAAACATTTGAATTTACTTTCCATTGCTGAGGTACATTAATTATGTTTATTAATATGACAATGAAAATATTGGCAAGAAAACAACATTCCTTATATTCAAAATAAAACTGTTCAGGTGGGATTTAAATTTTATTGTCAAATGTTCTTAATAATTTTGATTTTCTAATCCATATAAATTCTGTGCAAAATTAATTTTAAATCACTATTTGTTTGCGCAGGTACTCACTACACAAGCTGTCTACTCTATACTATGTGCTAAAATAGAAGATTGTAGGTATATCAAGTAGTAGTAAGTTCATACATACAGTGCTTTGCATTACATTGTGAAAAATTATGGATAGGTATATAAACCTTATACTTGTTCCACTAATAGTTATACATGCAGATGCTATTTCCTTTAGTTCTAGTACATACATTGATAGAAATAAAGCACAATATTGTTTACAAATTTTCAGTCACTAACAATTGGTCAAAAGCACAAAGTCTTCAGACATTAGAAAACCCAGAGCAATTAAATACAACCAGTAACTGAACAAAAACATTTAGATTACCCAAACAACATCCAATGTGCATTATTTTGTTGCATTTATGAAATATAAAACAGAGCTTATATTACAAAAATAAAAAAGATTTAATGTCATGGTTAACAAGTTTATAGGCCAAAGCAAGGCCTTTTCATAAGGAATTCTTTCCAACTGTGAAATTTTGTCACCCTAGTCTCCAAATACTAGGACCAGGGTGCCACTTAGTAAAGTTAATAAAGAATTGATAAATATTAATAATATATTAAATTATTTTCTAATACTTATAAATAAATAAAAACAATAGAAATAATAATAAGAAAGCATAATTACACCTTTATGGACGCAATACAGTGAATTATGTATTTAACCATACTCTACAAAAACATTTTAGAAAAACATATAATTTACTGTCTTTACACATTGGAATTAAGTGTGTATTGTAATATTGAATGTTTATTACATCATTCGCTGTATAAAGTTAAATTATATTAACATACAAATAACATTAAACTATGAAACTATATTGGTAAGTGTTTGTAGGCTGGTAAATTTTGTTTAGGTACTATGCATTATCATCATTCTAACACTGTCTAAGAACTCAATCTGTATAACACAAGACTTCACCATAATGTCACACAAAATTTCACTACTCAACTAATAGGACACAATGGCTGGAGTAGGAGCTTCCCAGGCCAAACAACATCGGGAATTCGATAGTGAGCATGCCGTGAGCCGCGGGGTAGCAGCGCGCGCCGCGGCCCGGCCGGCGCCGGCCCCGCCTCGCCTCGCGCCGCCACATCTGCCTCTCACTTATTTCAAACAGTGTTAGAATATCAAAGCGTCATAAGTCAGGGAATCTCAGAGGATCCTCCACAAAGTCCTCAGGAATAACGAAGAGGTCCTCCGATAGATCGTCACGAAAATCAAACTTTTGGAAAGTAATTTTTGCTGTCACTGTGGGTAAAATTGGTATATCTATTTTCACTGGAAAACCTTTCGGCAATTTCATAGCCACGAATTGACGTAATTTCGCAAAATGCTTAAATGGTGCTATCACTTCCAGAACATTTAATAGCATATCGACACTCAATGGAAAGTCATCGCTCATAGCCAATGTCGCTCTGAAGTTTCTCGAAGATTCTTTGTATACTAGCTCACGGCCCAAGCTGGGGTATTGCCCAGGGGGAGATGATATGTATGCAGTCCAGTCCACTCCAGTTTCAGGCGGTGGATTCAAGGAAGCCCTCCGTGTAGTCTCACCGTTTGTATCTAAATTCTGTGTGTTACCCTTTGTAAGACTTTCAATGATGGCTTTATTTTTCTGTAGATCATCTGTCGATAAATGTTCTCTGCGTTTGCGTGACTCTAAAACAAGACCTGTAATCGTGTAGATATCACTTCGATACAGACCTGCGATTGTTTCTTTGCGGTCTTCACGGAATATCCAACCTGATTGGGCCCTAGAGAATGATATTCCTTTGGTGGACATTTGAGCTGCCAAAATATCACTTGACATTAGAATATCAACTTCATCTTCAATCTCATTTTCAGTTTCCTCATAGCGCACTCGTTGATATACTTTTGCCTTATTATCTAATACAGTAAGTGACTCACTTGGTGGTTTCTCACCTTGAAAAATAAATGATATATCTCCTCTTTCCCATTTCATGTCAGAAAAATCAACCAATGTTGTGTCTAATCTAATACCAGATCCGGATTTGTAGATTTTGCACAGATCAGATGGTAAAATTCTCGAGACTAAGGGTACCCACGAATGAAAGTCCCACTTTAGCTCCATGTAGAAATCTTGTATTTGAGAAAGAGCACGAATAAGGTCAGGTCTTCGGAGTTCCATCTGCTCGCGAGCTTGTTGTTTGAGTTTTCGAACGAGTGACGATATGGTTTGCCGATCGCCATAGCTGATGGCTTCGGCCAGTGGTGACCAGCCTGCGAGGTTCTTCACTTTGACTGGTGCGCTGTGAGCCAGTAGTAGTTGCACACACTCTTTCCGCCCTAGCATCACGGCTAGGTGTAGTGCCGTGTTACCATGCTTGTCTTTACGCGTCACATCGTTTAGCCTTAGCAGCGATGACAGCTTTCGAACATCTCCAATGAATACACACTCATGAAGAGGATACGTCTCATCCTCTTCATTGCAATTCGGGGTAGACATTTCGCTTAAGTGTTCTGTTAAATCATCACTGGCAATGATTAATAATAAGTAAAAAGAACAGAAACAATTTTGATCATAATCTAATCATCAAACTGATAAGATTAGAATTTTGAAGATAGTATACATATTATCGTATTGTACATGGTGATGGAACTTCTTTTTGAGATCAACATTTGCACTTTATATCGAAGAAAACCATTTCATTTACTCAAAATAATACAAAAATAATATTTTGACTAAGAAAATGAACCTTCCATTTTTTTCGCTAATTGTGTCTAGTTCTTGTTTATTTTTTGCTTTGGTATTTTGACACGTGTACTTGAGAATCAAGAACAAGAAAGTAGAAAAGTAAGCTGTTGAAAGTACAAAACTACAAAAAGATTTTTTTCTCACGAAATGGAACAGAGCAACAGTGCTGCTGCCAGCCTAAAAAAAGTACTAAAAATAGTAGTAATGTAATAAAAGTAGTAGTATTTTATTGCTTTTTTTTAGTTTTGGTTTATAAGTTTGTGAATATTGTAATTTTTTTGGAAACAAAAATTAAGTTTCGTGTAATGCCAAATGCTTTGAGAAAGTTACATGCTTCTCTAGCTCTAGCTGCTATTCTCGAAATGGAATATTCTGCCAATTGCATTGCTCTGTGAATCACCGATTGCGGCGACATCATTCATTGACGTCAAAAAACACAAAGAGGGACTCTGTGAGCGTAGGTAGATGGCGCTGTGGTGATCTATGTTTTGAACGGTTTTGAAGCGTAAAAAATTGACAGATGCGCATAGCAGTAAACGCCTCTTGTTCGTTTTTTATCGGATTTGCATTGAAATTGCAATTTGTTTTATTAATCTCAGTGTTCAGAAGTGGTGGGTGCCTTTTGAAAAAGTGGTTATTGTATTTTTGAAGATACTCTATTCCATTTCCTTCGAGAAATCCTTTTGAATATCAATTTACCGGAGATCTAAGTTCACTCACATTTCCAATTGGATTAAAAACTTGGTTTTTGATCAGCATAGCGATTCATAAAACCTGTTTAATATCTCAATACTGAGTTTTCTTGCATTGATTCAATAATACGGTCACCCTTCACCTTAGCAGGTGTTAATTCAATTAATAAAACAGTTCATTAGTTCATGCACAGTAGAAAAACTTTTGCGCCGCTAGTTTCAATAGAAATGAGAAGAAACTAATCGTATGAAAGCTAAGCTAAGGCGCACCTGATTCATCAGAACCTGGAAGCATGTGAGTAAAGTTTTATATTATTGATTATAGATATAAGTCCCCAGATGTTTTATGACCAATATGACATCGTGAAATTGAAGTGAGTTAGCTAACTGTGTGTTAAATGTGTAAGTATTTTAAAAGCAGCAAAGATTGTTTTACAATTTAAAAATAGTATTATCATACTATAGCTGTAGCTATTGTATTTAGGTAATTGTCTTCAGTGCTGAATGCAGATTTTAAATATAAAAACATTTTTATGTTTATTTCTTCTTTGTAATATTTTAAATATTTTTGTATGAAAATAATACAAAGAAAAGGTAATAGGAACAATACTTCCTTTTCAATTGCACAGTTTTAGCAAAGTTATTCAATCAACCGATAAATAAAATCTTGTGACCATTGCAAATCCTTGAGAATAAATATCTATCATATGTGGGATTACTTACGCTGAACGCATGATGAGCCATTGTTTTAAGAAAACTACAACAAAGAAAAAACTTATTAACTAGGTAGGTACCTAGAAAACATATTTTCCTACTAAAATTGGTTCAAAAGCTATCCATATTGTGTTTTTAGGGAACGACAACATAACAGGGTAGATTTTGTGGGGGTGGGGATTTACAGATTGACAGTTGTCATGTTTTGGGGTTGCCTTTTGCCGGACTGAAATTAATTGGGTGAAACAAAGCAACTTTATAAAAAACACCAGTTTATGCAATAAGTACATTACACAAAACATTGTTATGGATATTTTGCACAATCAACAGATTTCAGACTTATCTCTATGCAAAGGTTATCAATTCCAGCTGTTATCAATTTATGTTTTCTCTTTATTTACATACAGATACAGATGTCCACCATACCTACATAATAATGTACTCAGCTGGTGTATATTATATGTAAGTTATAATTCTTTCTATCAAGGTTGGCTATGTTCACATACCTTGAGTTAGTAATTTAGTCTGTGGACTATTTAGTGCTCTTAACAAAGGTCTTAAGGTTTTATTAAATTTATAACATTAATAACTTCTGACCAAATTATTATTGAGGCTAGTTATGTTCACAACAATGTACAGTATTTATTATTATTATTGTTTTTGTTGGTGCATATTAATTCTCTCTTCCAACTCAGATCTTCAGATCAATATGACTCATCGACACAAACCAGCAGGAAGTCTTATTGAAACTATCTTCTGTAATGAAGCTTCTTTCCATTTCAAGATTATAGAGATTACACTAACTGGTAAAAACAAAATTATGATAATTTATGTACCTATCTCTCTTTTTCTTTTTTTGTCGGGATTTCGGAAAATACTTTGCGCATCGGTATGCGTGTTTAGCCAGTGGGTACTGACCGATGGGGCCGCCCTTTTCGAAGACGTTATGCTGGTCTCTCCACTGCCCACATGGGGCCTACCTACTAAAACCCGATGGTGTCCAACGGAACCCAATTAAACGACGCCGCTATAACTCGGACGAAGCTAGGACAATACCTAGCTTGGACATTCGTGCAACTCCGTTTCGGGCTATGGCTCCGGTTAGGGTTTCTCTCCGCCCGCGCCAGTAAACCGGTACCCTCCCCAGGACTGGCCGTCCCCTATCCGCAACCGGGTTGCGGTGACGCGTCCGATGGCAGACCCAAAACTGCACACGGAATCTCTTTTTCCTGTCATAGTTGAGATATTTTGTATTAGCTCACTGGCGACTTCCTTTTTTTTTTTTCATTTTTACTTTATTGGTCACTAGCTTTCCGCCCGCGGCTTCGCCCGCGTGGAATTTTGTCTGTCTCAGAAAAACTTTACGACGCGCGCGTCCCTGTTTCAAAAACCGGGATAAAAACTATCCTATATCCTTTCCCAGGACTCAAACTATCTCCAGTGGCGGCGTAGCATGGGTTGGCACCCGGGGCGATCTTTCTATTCTGAAGGCAACGTCGTCGTCGTTTTCGCCAGTATGTAACACTGTTTAAAATTAAATGTCAGTCCTTGTTTACTTTGTCGAGGTTGTGGATACTAAGCTAAATCAACATTGGTTTATGTACCTATTTCGACGCAATACGCAGCAGCAGTACTTTGTGTGTTTGGAAAGCAAAGTTTTGTAATCTTCATACTTGCTTCGTAGGGGAGACATCTTTTAAATTAAATGATTGAGTAAATAACTGTACTAGTAGGATTTTTAATTGAATAAACAGATGGATGCAGATCGGATCTCGTACTTAAAAAATTAGCTATCTACTAAAGTGTGAAACATACCATTTTATTGAAAAAACACCTAGACTGGGTGAACTGAAAAAGCATAAATTTTCAACAACACACGACACTCGACATTCGTGGTAAGTAGCTATCGGGAATGTCCTCATTACAGTACATTAAATAAACACTCAAACAAATTATGACACCCCATGCTGTAAAACTGTAAAAAGTGCAATGACCGGAGATAAATAATTATTTTCGTCGCATAATGAAATGGTTGTTTTTTTGTTAACTTAAGTAACCATTGCCGAGATTCTATCCGTTTATATTAGAAGACTAACGCCCGTATTCACAATCATCACTATATTCACTATGCACTATGAGGTCTCACATTGCGCGTGGACGCACAGGGAACACGATCACGAACCAATCACAGAGCTCTATTTAACGCTGTGCGTTCGATTTGCTGCTTCATTTAAGCAAGCATCGTTTGTGAATACGGGTGTAAGCAGGAGATTACTTAGGAAGACGCGGGATTTTAGTCTCGAGATAAATAATATTTTCAATAAGAAAATATTTTTCAATCAAGGGTCAACAAGTAACAACACCGGTGTCAGACTTTCTAAGCCCCCATAAATATGCTTCTGATATCACCGACGGCATATTATCATGCACTCCGCAGTAGGTAAATCTTACGTTTCATCAATGTCTGTGAGCTGTGATCCTTGTTTTTTTATAGGTGAAATAGATTATCATTCCAGTAAATAACATAAACAACAGTTTTACCTTATTATTATTTAATCCAAACATTTCGTTTGTTTTCATTCGAATTTGTAAACATTTGTTAATTAACAGAATGTTGTTGAGAATATGATCCAACCCAGTGGTTTTTGTTGATAAAGATGTTTTTGTTACAATGTTATCATTGTAAGTTTATATTATTATTCATTAATCATATCGAAAATGTTGCTATTTTTACTGAATGACATAATATTTTAGTTTAATATGTGGTACTACCTATTTGGGCTTACTGAGAGTAAATGAATTAAAAACTGAGAATTAATCACTGCATCCTCTGCAGTATAATAGATATAATGTATTCTAGTTATTACAAGTAATTGACCACAATTTCATTAAATTATAAACTCAAAAGTTACGATAACGTAAGTGAATCTTTAAGTCTACCTTAAAATCTTCTCTTTTAAAGTGGTTAAATCCTAGCTAGAGATTAACCGTAACATAAAATTGTAATAATGAAAATCTTATTTACCAGTAGCCACAGCAAAGTAACAAGCTAGCTCACTTTTTAATCCTTAATTTGGCCAAAAACATTTTAATAAGCTTTTGAACTTCGCTTTGTAAAGGTTTATGAATTTTATTAGAAGATCAAAATAACCGTAATATTCCTAAACGAATGAAGTCAAATGATGGACTTAACAAATAATATTATTTCTTGTGAATATCTAGAGATTTTGACGATAGATTTATAATAATCGTTTTACGTGTGCAGATATGCATACCAGTGCACACCTATTAATGTTTTTATCTACCAGGAACTATGCTAATAGTAGCTGCTGTATTCCACGCTTTGCGGAATTCCGAGCCGTGGTTGACCCAGTTATATGGATTCCGGAAAACCGTAATAGTATCATCACTAGAATGTGCAATACGACTATTGAACATTAAACAGCTGCTATGTTTCTCAAGCTTTCTTCAAACGATAATTAAATGAAAACATGGGCATTATCTGACTAAATCCACCATCCACATTTTCGAAGGAAATTCCTAGGTTACTTTTAGCAATACATAGTCTACTAATAGTAGACTACTATATCCAATTTCTACTGAGGGGGACACGCTTGTCTAGATAGGTACATTTGCACCCTTTGAACCTGTTTGGCCTGTGTAATGGTTAAATACCCCGTTATGACAATGTTAGGATATTTTAGCGTTTTATAGTTTTATATTATATCTTTTTCGTACAAATAATGGAATGCAATCCGC